TATTTGAATAGTAAAATTTTAAAATTAAATAATTATTTGATTTGATATAAATAAAAATTGATTTGATATTTTGAATGTAAATTTAATTTTTTTAATATAATATAAAAATATATGTATTTAATTTATTTTTTAAAAAATTATACTTTCTATGTCCGTTAACGATCTATTAATTTTTCCATTTTGGTCAATCTCATAAAAAAGTATCGATTTTTTTTTAAATAATTGTACCATCTGCCTAATATTACAAATACCCTTCCAATTTACAATATATTAAATAAACTTTAAATCTTCAAAATTAATAGTGAAATGTGATATTCATCATCTTTAATATTTTAAATAATTTTTATACTGTACTACCTCAAAATAACCAAATTTACTGTTTGGTACGTCCCACAAAAGATGATTTTTTTTAGTAAGTTTATCAATCTTAAATATATTTAAAAAAATATAAATTAATTTAATTAAACTTCTTTCTTTTTATCTCTCTCATTAATTAACAAATATTTTTATCTATCTTTAAAACTCCTCATCTTTTATAAAACTAATTTATGGTAATGATAAATAAATAACTATATTTTTTATTCATTTGTATTATATAAAATTTTATTATCTACAAAATGATATTCATATTGTATATATTTTATTGAGATATAATTCTAAAAATATTTAAAATACCAACAAAGCTACACATATAAAAAATAATAAAATATTATCATAACTTATTATTAATAATTTAATAACCTACATTACCTAAAAGACTAAAATACAGTGTCCCTAACAAAAGGATTAATCTTTCGCGGGACAGAGTAAGTATCATTTTAAATATTTTCCACAATTAAATACTAATAATAAGTTTTCATTTTAGAGCAATTCAAATCCAAATTTATATATATACTTATTTCGTCCCATAATAATTTATCTATTTTTTCATTTTGATCTGTCTCATAATAAAATATTTATTTTATTTTTTAATACTTGTATTATCTATTTAACATTACAAATACCCTTTTAATTTACAACATATTACACAAATATCATTACATTTATATCATATCATACTAATAAGGTTAGTTTAGTCTTTTTACTTTTATTTTTACTGCATCCTAATATAATACTCCCTCCGTCCACATCTAAATGTCACATTTACTTTTTTATTCATTGTATTTAACATTAAAAATATCTTTATATTTGCATAATTTTTTATATAAATGTCCTTCTATTAGTATTATAAGACATTAATTGAAGTATTTTTGCATTTTTTTTCTTAATTTATACTTCGTTTTGATATAATAATTAATATTCAAAGATCAAAATACTAAAAATAAATGAAACCCTTAGAACCGGACGGAAGTAATACTTGGTTAAGCCAAAACAAGGTCTAAAATAATTTACAGAAAAGGACACACATGTTTACATGCAGACATTCATTTGTACTATTTATTTAACATTATAATTATTCTTCTAATTTATAATATATTACACAAATGTCATTATATTTATATTATACAATACTAGTAAGGTTAGTTTAATCTTTTTTTACTTTTGTTTCATCCTAATATAATACTCTCTCTGTCCGCCTCTAAAGGTCGCATTTACCTTTTGGATCATTGTGCTTAACATTAAAAATATATTTATATTTGTATAGTTTTTTGTACAAATATTCTTCTTTTTTAATATTATAAGACATTAATTAAAATATTTTTACAATTTTTTCTTAATTTGTAATACATTTTGATATAGTAATTAATATTTATAAAATAATTAAAAAAAAAAAAAGGGGACACATGTTTATATGCAGACATACATCCGTACATGTATTATCATCAATGTCTACTCCGACCCACTTGTCGCCTCAGGCAATGTCATCATCACTTTATACATTATAAACGTGCTAAGTATTTTATTACTATTACTCCCTTCGTCCCAAATATCATGTCCACACTGTCGTTTCTATCTGTTCCATGTACCATGTTATTTTTCTTTTTTGGAAAATGATTATACATTTTAATCTCATTTTAAATTTTTATTTTTATTTTAATTTTAATTAAACTAATTAGTTATCTTAATCTTAATTTATAATTATTTATATTATAGGATCATTATTTTCACTAATACATTCTTAATTATCTTCTAATTACACCCCTCCTAAAATACCGTGTTTACAGTGTAACAGACACGATATTTAGGACGGAGGGAGTATTATTTTTTTTTTAATTTATTTTTATGTTATTACATCTATAATTATTTATTAACTTATGAATGAATTCACAATTATAAATTTATTCAACATTACACAATCATCCATTACGAAATTTATTACTCCTTCCGCCCCGTCACATATGACACATTTTTTTATTTTTTTTTTTACATCTCACAAAAGATGATTCATTTTCATTTTTGGTAACTTTATCAATTTTAAATATACTTAACAAATATAAATCATTAAACTTCTAATATCTTACACGTTGAACCCACTCAAAACTTCTTTATTTCTATTTCTCTCCTCAATTAACGTAATTTTTTTTTATCTATATTTAAAATTTCTCATTTTTTTTATTATATAAAATTTTATTATCTACAAAATGATATCCATATTGCATATATTTTTTCGAGATATAATCTTCAAAATTTTTAAAATACCAATAATATTATTCATATCAAAAATAATAAACCAATATCATAACTTATTATTAATAACTTACTAATTTACATTACCTAAAAAAATGTGTCCCTAATAAAAGGATTCATCCCTCGCAAGACGGAGATAATATTATTTTTTCTATTTTACACAATACAAAAAGAGCTTCAACGTCAATCCCACAAAAATAACAAAAAAGAAAAAAAAAAGTAAGAAATTAAAATTTAAAATAAAATATAGTCAAATATTTCTATATAATAAGTCTAATTTTATAATGCAACCAATTACTTCACAATAATTCACAAATTATGAAAACAATGGGTTTATTTGTTTGTGGATTTAGATTTTTTTTTATTGAAATTTAAATAATAGAAATTTTGGATTGAAATAATTATATGATGCTGATATTGATATCATATTTGAATGCAAAATTAATTTTTAATATAATATAAAAAATAAATATTTTATTTGATATTTTTAAATGAAATTTTTTTATAAATAATAAAAATTTAATAATGTGATAATAATAATAATAATAATAATAATAATAATAATAATAATAAACCACCTTTACATTGTCTAATGTTGTCGAGGTGTAACTGAAAATATATAAGAATGTAAAAAAAAAAAAAAACTAAACTAGAATCGGATAAAATCATATTCTATAAATTAAATAATAATTTATTATTACGGGCCGAAGGAGCCTAACCCTAAAGCCCAAAAAAATGAAATTCTAAACGGGCTGGACCGACCCATAATCTCGATTTTATTTCACCAGCTCTACAAAAAAAAAAAAAAAATAAATAAATAAATAAATTGTACTCCCTCATCTCGTTCATATTTTTTAATTTCGTTCGGTCCCACGAAATTTGTTATTTTTTTTTAAAAATTGATAATACACTTTAATCATATTTTAAAATTTCAAATTTATAATTTTTTTAATCTTAATTATATTTAGTTATTTTAATCTTAATTTATAATTATTTTTACTAAATAATAATTATTGTTATTAATACGCATCTTAATTACCTAATAATTATACTAATTATAACAAATATTCTAAATTTTATTATTTAAACTCTGTATTTTTTTGTAAAATATCTATTTTCATAAAACAAATATCTAATCAAATATTCCTTCCGTCCATTAACAAGGTTTACATTTACTTTTGGCGTGGTGTTTAAGAAATAATAGTATTTTAATTACAGTGAGTAGTTAAAAGTAGTGTAATGACATTTTTGCCCTTACTTTTTTGTGTAAAAGTAATATGTGATGTAAAGTAAGGGTATTTGTGGAAAAAAAAAAGTAGGGTATTTAATGAAATATTAACTTTGTAATTGGACGTCCCAAAATAGAAAAATGTAAACATTGTAAGTTGACGGATACTCCCTCCGTCCAACTAAAAAGTATACATATTTCTATTTTGGAACGTCCAATTACAAAGTAACAATTTCATTAAATACCCAATTTTTTTCCATACCCCTACTTTACATCACATCATTACTTTTATACTAAGAAAGTAAGAGCAAAAATGTCATTACACTCTTTTTACTTACCCACTATAATTAAAATACTATTATTTTTTAAATTCGGCACCAAAAGTAAATGTATACATTTTGCTTGGAGGAAGGAGTATTAAATTCAAACTACTCTCCCCAAATTTTCATTTTTTTTTTTTTTAAGTCTGAACTTATCTCATTACTTATGGCAAAGTCACTCAATCTCATTTAATTATTAATCTTTCAGTCAACATTTATTTATAACAAATATTACTATTTTTATTACATTTTTTTTCATTTATTTTGATTTTTAACTTAATTTTCCAAATTACTCCAAATTACCTTTTATTTTATTATTCATTAATAAAATATTTATTTTTCTTAATCTCCATCAATAGAACTATTTTTTATAACATGGAAATCCGCAATCGCTATTCGAAAGTGGCATTGGGCAAACCCCGGCCGAATCTAATACCTTTTAAACAAGGCCTGATAGACAAGTCACACGTCATGTGTGGCAGGTGATCTGATGCGTCGGGGTTTGAATTCATAACCTCACGGTCACACGTCCTCAATCGGACTAATTTTGATGGATTGAAGATAGTTTTTTTACAAAATATTACTCCATCCGTCCCACTATTTTGTCTCATTTTAACTTAAATACAGAGTTTTAAGTATTGATATAAATAGTAAATAATTAAAGACTATATCAATATAAAGAATTATAATTTAATATTAAAATAATTTAATAATTTAATTAAAAAAAAAAAAAAGGTACAACCGAGTTAGTAGAATATACAGGTCAGTCGGTTTCAAAACGTCGTCGTTTCTGGGTTTCAGCTCCCTCATTTTATATCGCTCCAGTTTGCACTTTACAGGGTCACCGACTACAGAACTCGTTGAAAGCACTGTGAACTGAGTGGAGGAAAACGTACAATCATGGCTCGATGCTTCAACTCTGCTCCTCTGCCATTCCGGCCTCCACATTCTCCGAGTTCCTCCTCCTATTCCACGCAATTGAGCTCCTCCATGTCCCGCAGGATCCTCGTGAGTAAGACGCTGGTGAGTAGACGTGGGATTCAGCCCTCCGGAGCTGCCGAAGGAACCAGAGTGTTCGTCGTGTCTGATCTACATACGGACTATGAGGAGAACATGGAGTGGGTCAAGCGTTTGTCCGACCGGAAAACTGTTGGAGATGTGCTTCTGGTTGCGGGCGATGTGGCCGAGACATACGCCAATTTTGTTCAGACGATGTCGATTTTGAAGGATAAGTTTGGTCGCGTCTTCTTTACGCCTGGTAATCACGATCTTTGGCTGCGCAGGGAGAGTAGCGATTTGGTGAGCCTCGTTTCCCTTCTGTCTCCATTTTTGTTTACTTTCTTCATCTGTAGGTTTGTTGTTCTTTTGATTTGCTGCTTGTTAAAATGTCTGGTTGAATGGTCTGGTTGAATGAGATTGCTGATTTTCGAAACTTGACTGGAGTTTGAACTATTTGTTTTCCGATGTGTATTCGTTTCCTCGCTATGAACTTGAAGCGTTGGCAATAAACATGACTCTGACATCTCTAGGTTATTTGTCGAGGGTAAAATTATGCGACTGTGAATCGATTTTGATTAACATGATGAGAGTTCATGTAATTTCTGTATCGCTTAGCTTCATTGACAGTCGCTTAAGGATCTCTTAGTTATTCCTGCATTATAGTTTGAAATCCTTTCATCTGACCTACTTTCACGGTCGCCATTTTTAGTTGTGTTCGCTGGACAAGCTGGATAAATTGATAGAAGCATGTCATAGTGTTGGAGTGGATACCAAACCAGATGTAGTTGATGGTATTGGTATCATCCCGTTATACTCATGGTATCATGAGGTAAAATGTTCCAACATCTCTTTCTTGTGTGTGGCTTCAGTATGGATCTGAATGATTTGTTAACTTCTTTTTAGTCTCCTTTTCTTCATTTCAGAGCTTCGATACAGAGAAGGACATAACTGGAATCCGTATTCCGCCATTAGGGATGGTGATTAACTTTCTTTATCGTAGTAAGCATTTTATGTTCCCGGAGTGTCGAATTAATGATTAAAAGATAATGTAGATTTTCCATTAATATGTTCTTTCTCACATTATTTTGAAGTGGTCACCAAATCTCATTCAATTTGATCTGTGGGAATTAGTTCTAAGGAAATCCAATGAACAGACTACAGAAGCTGCCTAAATAAAAGGAATAAAGTACAACCCGGCATTGAGTTTTGTTTTCATTTCCAAGTTTAAATATATTGTCAAGCGATTGTCCGGTCTTCACAGAATCTATGCGCTAAGATATTCATTGATGTAAGGCAGGCATGTAAGGACTTCCATGTCTGCAAATGGCCTGATGAGTTGCAAAATGAAGAGGCTTCACTTGCTCGGTATTTTGATTCTTTGAATGATGAAAATTCAAAGATAATTGAGGATATCATGACGGGATGCAGTCATATAATTTCATTTTCTCATTTCTTACCGAGGTTAGTGCATACACTGTTCAAACAAGAACCAATTTCTATTGTTTTTCATATCCTTGAGTTGCAAAACTGTTGAATCCACACCTAATGGCTTTTATGGAGACTGCATTGGGGCCTGTCCAAAGGAACTAAACACATGGATGCACACACACACATATATATTTCTTTAGTTACTGTATGTGATCATGTTTGAGCATGACCATTACAATATCTAGTTAGATTCTTACAGAACATGTTGACTGGATTTATTAAACAATTAGCCGCATTATTGATAGGGATGAGTTTCATGTCCTTAAGCATAAACAAGTTATTTGAGATAGTTCTATTGTTTCGAAACAGAACTGAGCTCTTTAAATTATATTGGAGATGTTTTGCATGCATATATTATAGATAAAGTTTACCAGTTCAGAATTACAGCGAAAGTTCATTGCATTCTTTATTTGTCGAAACTATTTTGACCTTCTTTATGTTTAAAATGGAAATACCATTTTACAGCTCGGGATCTTTAATTGAATTATTTCAAACCTGTTTGAAGATGCAGGCTAATAAAATTTTTTTTCCATTCTCTGTTTTTGAGTTTTCGAAAAACCAATAATTTTTGCCATACAGAGTTTTTCACCCCTTACATTAAAGTGATACTACATCATAGGTAACGATATTCTAGTGTTGCAAGAAGCTGAATAGCTGATATTATATTGTGAACGTTTCTATGTAGGCAAGAGTTATGCCCAGAAAAGAGAATGCTCTACTATCCAAACCTTCCAAAAATGATTGGCTCAAAATATCTCGAAAGTCGAATAAGGGCTATACATGGAGCTGGAGGGAGAACAACATCATGCCACGTATTTGGTCACACTCATTTCTGTTGGGATGCTGTTCTTGATGGTATCAGGTGATTATAATACTACCTCCGTCCCACAACAAGACAAACTGTAACGGTATTTATTATGTTAACTAAATTAGGAAATGACACCATTTGGGGATGGACAAAAATAGAAAATGATATAATATGTTCGCTGACTTGATATTCTAGAAGGTTCTATCACCGGTAGCTTTCAAGATTATTTCTTGCTTGCGACTTTTCAGGTATGTGCAGGCTCCCTTAGCTTATCCTAGGGAAAGACGAAAAAAAGTGAATGGAGGCGAAGATTGGCTGCCTTTATGCCTTTACTCTGGCAGGAATTTTGCGGAGAAGCTCTCGAATTGCTACTGGTCCGATTATTACAATGCCAACCCGAGAACACCGGATATCACTCAGCCTGCCCCTTGGGTTACCAGGTACTACTCTAAAATTCCCTGAGTATTTCTCACACTGTTTATTGCCATTCATATAATTGATTTCGAAAAATGACTAGTACATATGATTTTTTTACATATTTTTTTTGGCTCTACTGAAGTGTATAGAATAATAGTAATCGACTGATGCGTAGGCGTTTATGTGAATTTGCACATCAATGCCACGATCAATCTGAATGAGTTTGTAAGGATTGTGAGGGCAGATGATGAAAAATTCTAATAGTTTTGATGCATATATTGATGGATGATGAATGCATTTATGGCTTTGGGTTGGTAGATTTGGGGTTCGTTGTCTCCAATCGACCCAAATCGTGCCCATTTTTTGTACCAACACCAAAAAAATGGTGTTGCTTCCTTCTTTTTTATTTATTTATTTATTTATTTTAAAAATTTAAAAATTTTAATTTTAATTTTAAAATTTATTTTTTATTTTTTATTTTTCTAAATATTTTTTTAAAAAAATATTTTAAATTATAAAAATAAAAAATTGTTTAAAATAATAGAAAAAATTGAATATTTGAAAAATAACAGTAAAAAATAGAGTTATGATTGGAGTAAGATCGCTTATTAGTAATATGTTTCACTATTTGAGACTGAGTTGGCTAGGTAGCCTGAGATTTAAGGAAATTGGATTAGGTGAAGTATTAATTGAGATTATAATTTCAAAACATTTTTTTGTATTAATTACAAGATATTATTTAAATTTAAATACAAATTCAATTTTTTAAAAAAGGCTATATTACTAAAATTAATCTTGTACTAATTAGAGATGGGCGAAGAATATTATTTTGAATTAATTATTTTATATTTCTAAAAATTATAAATTAAATTTATTCTAAAATTTTTACTATAAATCTTGAAAATATATATATAATGATTATTATTAAAAATATATATTGATATATTATTATTTTTATAATTTTTTTGCAATTATTTTTTAAAATATTAAAAATTGATTTTTTTTTTTTATATTATGAAATCATTGTAGAAAATATTTTGTTGAATTATAAATATACGTATAAAATAATTTTAACAAAAAGTGAATGATAATAAATATGGTCTATATTATGACTATATTGAGGGTTGAGATCATCGGTCTAAATTTATTCAGTTTAACCGATTTACCCAATCAAAATTAAACGCGTGTGCATTTATTTGTTTATATTTTTTTATTTTGTTAAAAATCAAAATCTAATTAATTTACCAAATATTTGCACAATAGTCCCTATCATTTTTCTTCCAATTCTTTCATTCATTTTTCTGTATTCTGCAAATCGATTTTACCCTCAGATCCTAATCCTTTTCTATTCTGGGTTCTCCAAATCGACTTCACCTTCTCTATTCATTTATTTGTTTAGATTGAGAAGATTGAGAAGGTGAAGTCGATTTGGAGAACGCAGAATAGAGAAGGATTGGGGTCTGAGGGTAAAATCGATTTGCAGAATACAGAAAAATGAATGGAAGAATTGGAAGGGAAATGATAGGGACTATTGTGCAAATATTTGGTAAATTAATTAGATTTTGATTTTTAAAAAAATAAAAAAATATAAACAAATAAATGTACATGCGTTTAATTTTGATTGGGTGAACCGGTTAAATTGGATAAATTTAGACCGATGATCCCAACCCCTATATTGAAAAGTCGTGAACATGGTTGTGGTCGTGTTAACATGGGCAAGAACATGGCCGTGTTCAGAAGTGCAAGGTAATCAATGCGACCGTATTGAAGGCGGTAACACGGGCAAAAACATAATCATGTTTAAAAGTGCAAGGTAATCAATATAGCCGTATTGAAGCCAATACAGCCATGTGTTCAGTCCTATTCAATCATTGTGAGACTAAAATTGATAATTTTCGAGTGAGATCAAAATTGATTAAAAATATTAAAAAAATAAAAAAAAAAAATTCAATTGGATCAAAATTGAAAATTATGATATTTAATTAGACCAAAAATGATTTTTGCTCTAATAATTAAATATTTAGAGTTTGTTTTTGTATTATTTCAAATTAAAATTAATAGTATTTACTATACATAGTTTTTAATAATAAATAAATAAATTTTTTCATAAAATATCACATCAAAACGTTATTTAATTTCAAAATATTTTCAAATTTCAACCAAACAAATCTTTAATTGTTCGAGCTATGTTATTCAAATTTCAATATTATTGTCCATATTAGAAGTTAAGGGTTGGATCCAGGTTTTTTTTTTTTTTTTTTCAATTTTGAGAATAAGAAAATATTTTTTTTTTAGTGTTTTGACATGAAGAATTTTTTTTAATATGTAAGGTAGAAAATTGTGTTATTAATATAAAAATAATATTTTATGTTTAATTATAATTTTGTAAAATATATATATTAGAAATTGTATCAGGAAAAATAGGGCAAACAATAAAAAAAATCTTTTATTTTAAATTAATTTGATACCTAATAGTATTTGACAACGTGTCGTGTGTTGTGAGAGAAATGAATTTTATTTATAAATAAATATTTTTGGGTGGGAATTATTGAATTGATATTCATATTGTTATTGTGGTCTGAATGAAACTTGTCTCTATAAATATCTTCTCATTAGAGTGAAAATTCACCACATATTTTGGTTTTATTCTTTTGATATTTTAAATTTTGTTAAATTTTTATTATTAGTCATTGAAAGTTAAAAAAATATTTTGGTAAAAAAGTAATAGTGTTTATTTAAAATAATTTTATATTTTTAAAATATTATATAAAAAATTATATATTTTTTAATTAAAAAATAAAGTATATAGATATTTTTTTTATATTGTAAACAATAAAAAAGAAAAAAAATATAAGAGAATAAAAACCTTTAAGATTTAGGGTTTGTTTGGTTATTTGAAATTGAATTTTTAATTTGAAATTTGATTTATATAATATTTTTTATGAAAAATATAATATATTTTTATTGAAAATTATATATATAGTAAATAGTAAAAATAATCATACACTAATATCAAAATATTATTTAGTTTTTACTTACATACAAATATACCATTACACGTTACTGTATATATAAAATTAAAGAACAAAAATATCAAAATTATTTACAACACTTCCACTAATTAATAAAATGAGGAAGGGAGTATATCAGTTAGTTAGTTATTATTATTATTATTTGCTTTTTATTTTATATATTTGAATGTTTTTTAATTTCATTGCATTATGGAAATAGAAATTTTTGCATTAAAATAATTATATGATATAAATAAAAATCAATGCAATGTTTAGATGACAAAATAAAATTGAATACAATATATTAAATAAAAATATATTTTTTTAAAAAAATATATATTTATTTTATAAATTGTAGGGAAATAAAATAAGATAATGATATGCAAATCAATTCTAATTTGTAATATCTTCGGACCTGCAGAATTCAAGCACAATATTCTTGAACTTTGCTATATTTCTAATAAAGTGAAGTCGTATATCAATACGCTTACTTTTTTCATAAAAGATTGGATTCTTAGCCAATGTAATTGTCGATTAGTTATCGCATTTGATCACCGTTGGATGTTTTGGATTATATCCAAACTCGATTAGCATTTTATGCAACCATATAGCTTGAGTAGTACAATGAGTTATAGCTATACACTCAGCTTCCGTGGTGGACAAGATAACAATTTGTTGTTTCTTTTAGGATCAAGAAAATAGTTCATTTTTCAAAGAGAACGTATTTTGTACTTTTCCTCCCCAATCACTATTGGTAAAATTCATGAGTTGAATATTATGGGAATAATCATAATAGATTCCTTCATTTGTAGTTCTCTTTTTGTAGCGAATAATTCTCTTTAATGCGTGAAAGTGTGATTGCTTCGAAAATTCCATAAATTTAATAATCACCCCGACACTATAAACAAGATCCAGTCGAGTGGATGTCAAATAGCTCAAACTCCTCACTAATTTGCATGAATTATATTAGATTAAAGTCATGGTAACTTTCATCTTTAGTCAGCCTCAACCTTTCTTTCATATGGGTGTTCATCGACTTGCAATTTGTTATCTTGAAACGCTCAAGAATGTTATTAGCATACATCTATTAATGAAAATTTATTTTTTGTCGGATTGATAAACCTCAAGGCTAATGAAGTAGGACATAAAACCCATGTATATCATCTCGAATCCACGAGTCATGGCTGCCTTAATTCTCGATCATATTTTGACTATTTTCAATAAATATTAAATCATAAACATAGAAACATATGATGAGCATCTCGCCATTTAATCTAATTTTAGCATATAATGTGTGTCCCAAAGGGCATTGACTAAAACAACAATTAATCAAATAAAAATCAATGCGAGTGTACCATGCTCTCAGTGCTTGCTTGAGCCCATAAATAATTTTCTTCAACTTATACATATTTTTCTTATTTCATTTCTTAATAAATTTAGGGGGTTAATTAACATATATCTCTTGCTCAAATATGTCGTTGAGAAATGTAAATTTAACTTCTATTTGGTGGATCTTCTAAAGATTTTGAACGGTTAAGAAAAATAGCATTTGTATTGTATCAATTTGAGCAATCGGAGCAAAAATTTCAAAGTAGTCAATCTTGAGTTTTTTCTTATAACCCTTGACCATAAAATGCACCTTTAAATGATCAATATCTTTGTTGGGTTTGTACTTGGTCTTGTAGACCTACTTTACACCGATTTGTTTCTTTAATAGTGGAAAACTTGTAGATTCTCATGTATCATAATTTTCGATTGCCCATATTTCATTCTCTATGGTCTGAATTCAAATTAGTGCTTTGTGAAACATCTTGATATGTTGTCGAGTCACAATTTGAAAAAAGAGCAAAGTTGACAACTTTATCTTCAACCTCGTTACTTGCATAGTCAGGGAGGACGTAATCCTTCAATTAGGTCGAGAAAGTGCGATCCCGTCGTGGTTGGGTAAAAATTGTTTGGTTAGAGACACCCATTGGATCAATATGGACTTCCTCTTCCTCCTCTGTTGGGCTAATATAGTTTGACCTTTCATTTTTTGTAGAATTGACATGTTCATAATCACCCATTTGACTATCCTGGATTGACCCATTTGTTTATGTTGGCTCATTCTTAAATGACGCATCATCTCCTTGAATAAATTGAAAATTCTCATTTTCTATTAACATCTACTCTTATATATCATTCTTACCAAATGCAACATCTCGATGTACAACAACTTTTTGTATGACCAGATTACACAACCGATAACCCTTGGTAACTCCACTATAACCGAAAATATGCATTTTTCACTTTTTGCATTAAGGTTTTTGCGTATCTACTTTGGTATATAGGCATATGCAACACAACCAAACACTCGGAGGTGCATCATTGATGGCTTTTAGCCCGTCCAAATCTCATATAAGGTTTTCAAGTCTAGTCATTTAGTTGGACATCTACTTCTTTGGCCCAAAATTGCTTAGGCAGTTATTTTGAGTGGAGAATCGTTCAGAACATATTGACTATAGTATGGTTCTTCTTTTCTGTAATGCAATTTTATTTCAAAGTGTACCTTGAAGTCAATCGGTGTTTAATGACACAAGATTTGAAAAACTTTTATCCCACAAAATATTCAGTGTCACGATCGGTTCTAAGAGTAAAAATATGGCTCTCATTTTGCTTTTCAACAAAGGCTTTAAATTCTTTAAAAGTATCGATTGTGTCGAATTTGTACTTCAAAAAATAAATCAATGTTTTCCTGACTAAAGTCATCAGTAAATGTGACATAGTACCTGGATCCATGTCTCGATAATTCAAACAACCACAAAGATCAAAATGAATCAATTCTAGCACTTTCGAGGCTCTCTATAATTTCTCTTATTGAAAGATTCTTTGTATTTCTTTCTGATGACACATAGTTCGCATATTTCTTCTGGTAGTGAGATCTCAAGTCCTTATACCATTTTCTTGTGAAAAATAAAAAATAAAAAATAGACTATTGAAATTGACATACCCAAACTCTTTATGCCAAAGTCATTAGAAATCTTAATAGTAGTAGTAATGTAATTAATATGCAACGGATAGAGCTAATTACATATCACCTTAACCTTTGCAACCAATCATCCTCTCCCGTATGGAATCGTGCACATGCCTTCTTAAATGTTAATCTCGTAGTCATGTTTCGACAATTTTGTTATGCTTATGAGGTTCTCATAAGGACTTAAAACATAGTGTGCGACGGATATGAGTTGAATAGTTCCATTATTTGCCTTTATTTTGATTACTCTCTTTCCCATAATAGGAACTTTGATATTATTACCAAATCTCACATCCAATCGAAATGTATCATTAAAGTTAGAGAAAAAAAATTTATGACCGCACATATGATTACTACGCCTTGTATTACCAAATATTCTTCTAATTTTTCATTGCTCTATCACAAGGAAAAATTAAAGTTTTCGTCTTGAAAGATATAATAGAGTGCTTTTTGATTTTATTGTGATTATTCTTCACCACCTTCAATTCATCTGGTGGAGGGCTTGTCATCGTTTATGGCTCCACAAATTATTCTTCAATGATATTAGTCAACTATTGGAATTTGAATAGCACGTCCATTTAGATCTTCTAATACTCAAAATTCTTTCCATCGAACTTCTAAAATTGAGTTAAGGATCCGACACCATTCATTGAAGCTATGACCACTTGAAGACTTAAGCCAAAATGATTCCGATACCAAATGTAGAAAAATAGAATAAGATAATAACATATAAAGAAATTCTAATTCGTAATATTCTTGTTCTTATGATTTCCAACCAATTGCATATCTATTTATTGAAGTACATAGAAAACAATATAAGACAATATATTAAAATAATAATAGTGTTTAGTAAATGCAAATAATTACGCCACATAAATACAAATTACAGTAATTACAATAAATAATTACAAATCATACTAATTATGTCATATTTTTAAAAGCTTTATTTACCAATACAATTTATTATTATTTTTTAATTCTAATATAATTATATATTGTGCTAACATAATATATATATATATATATATATATTAAGACGGTAGTTACTATACTAACACGTAGAATGCTAACATAAAATCTCTATAAATTAATATTTTTGGAACTACGAATTTTTATTAATTTAAAGAGAGACTTTTTAAATTCAGTAAATTTAGTACATATGTATTGAAAATAAATGAATTTATATATGTTTCATTGATTATATTCATAAATAAATCAATTCTTTGTAACTAATTGAAATATTTATGTATAATATCAATTTATTGTATTGTATACAATTAATTATTATTCATGATGAAAATATGTATCAATTCATCGTAAACGTATATCAATTAAATATATTTATCCATGATGAATGTGTTGGGTATTTAAAAAGTAAAAGAGAAATATGAAAAGGTTATCCCATATTAGAAATATGAAGAATTTTATATCTTGAAATTCATCTCACTTATGATAAATGACAAAATTGATTGGGCTAGAGCTAGCTTGGGCTTTGGATAAATCAATTTTGTATTTTATTATTTTATTGATTAATTTAATTTGACTTGAAAAAATCAAATAATCATATAAAATATTATTGTTGCAATGAGTATGGTTCAGAAAAAATTCCTTTATGAATTATTGAAAAGATGCAAAACCATGTTGCTTCAAAAATATCAACATGAACAACATTAATTGACATTATCGTGCCAACAAGAGGTCATGGATGACTAGTATATTTTTTCATGAATATGTTCGTTGGTTTGATCACAAAATGAATGCAAGAAGAATTTTGTTGATGACTGACAATTGTCCAACTCATCCACAAAGTATTGAGTTATTTTTTCTGCCACCTAACATGACATTGAAGATTAAACCATGTGATGCGGTAATAATTAGAGCTTTCAAAATGCACTATCGTAGAAGGTTTTTCAAAAATTTACTAGAATGTCATGAGTTGATGTTACCTAATTCTGAAAAGATTAATGTTTTAGATGTTATCAATTTGTAGTCTCTGTTTGGACAACCAATGTTTCTTAAGTGTCAATAGCAAATTGGTTTCGATATTGCAAATTCGCTTAAATGAAAAAATCTCAAGCGACTCAAGTGAGATAATTTTTTTTTTAAAAAAAAATAAAAACCTATGTGAGTTTGAGAATATAGTCAAGAATGTTGGTTATGATACTGAAATGAACATCAACAAATTTGTGGGCTATCTGGGTAAAAATGATGAATGTTCAACTGTTCAAAGTTTAGAGAAAATTGTTATTGATATTATTGAAGATTTTACTAACGATGAAGATGAAGTGATTTAACACCGTTGGCGCCAGTCGCGAGATATGAAGCTTTAAACGCGGCAACAATTCTTCACAGTTTTTTGTTGCAACTACAGAACTCAACACCAGAATTTTTAGGAGCAATTAAAAAAATTAGAAATGAATTCCAATTAGATTTAAGTTTTAAAGAAAAACAAGTCACCATATATTTATATTTTAACAAATTACTGTAATATTTATAATTGTAATATTTATGAATTATTAATTTAAAATTTTAATGGGATCTTAATATTTTTTTAAAAAGAAATTCTGAAAAATTATTATTTTATTATATTATCGAGTTTGATGATTTTTTTACTAAAATCTAAGTCGAGACGGTAAGATTTTATTATTTTAAAAAATTTATTAATTTATAGAAATTTTATTGTACAATACATATGACCAAGTGTATATAGTTAAAATTATTTAATATTAGTATATAATAATAATAATAATAATAATAATAATAGTAACTAATTAATTTGTATATTTATGGTAAAATTTGATCGTAAGTGTTTCTATTCTTAAAAAAAAATAACAATATGAAATTAAATATTATTTTTTATTTATTATATTATAAGAATCATTATATTAATAGATATTATATTAGTAACAAATATTTTTTTAATTTAAAATTATTCTACAATAAATTTTTATATAAATATATTTAATTTAAATTATATTATTATATAATAATTAAAAATAAATAATAAATCGTTTAAAATATATAATTACCATAATAAAATTTAATAGACCCACTCGGATACATATATTTTTAATCTCTGGCTTTCAATCCGATTGGTCGGGCTCTGCCACTTTATATTAGAATATTATTTATATTAAACAATACATGCAAAAATTAATTTTAGCCTGTGAAATACTTAGTAATACAATACATTATCAATATGAACAAACACGTGTGAAATAAAAATATTCTAACTCCGTCCTACATAATTTGTCTCTATTTTTTATTTTTGTCCATCCCACATAACTTGTTCTTTCTATTTTCGGAAATATAATTATGCATTTTAATGGCATTTTAAATTTTATAATTTTTTTAATTTTAATTAAACTATTTACTTATCTTAATATTAATCTATAATTATTTTTACTAATACACTTCTTAATTACTTACTAATTATACTTTACCTAAATTCTCGTGTCTACAATAATACACCCATAGTATATGAGTCGGAGGGAGTATTATATATATTTATTTGTGTTGATTGAAAAAAACAGTATAATGATATTCTCAAATTAATTATTATTATTTTTTTATAACAAAATATTTATTTATTTTTTCTTTTTAATCTGTCTAAAAACAAATAAATATATATATATTTAGAGTTTGTTTATTTAGTATTTTAATTTGATTTTTTATGGAGGTATAGATAATCGTATTGGTCATATAAAAAATAATACTCCCTCCCTTCGTCCCGGTGCAAGGTTGTCGTTTATTTTTTGCACATAGATTTTTGAATATTAGTATTATAATGGATTGTAGTGAAAAAGACGAAAATGCCCCTATTAGTATTTGTGTAATATAAAAGTAACGTTATTTGTGTAATATAGTGTAAATTTGAAGGGTATTTATTATGCTAGGTAGATACTACAATTACTAAATTAGGAAATGATAATCTTATTTTGGGACGGATGAAAATAAAAAATGACAACATTTCAATGGACGGAGGAAATATTTTATTTTGAATATTGTACTTTGTGACGAGATAAAATCTATACATTGAAAATTATACAGAACAAAAATAAATGAGCAAACTAATTATTGATAATTGTACTGTTTATCTAACCGACAAATAATCTTATAAGTTATGATATAGTATTACATAAATATCTTATCTTTCTATTACATACTATTAATAACAATATTTTAATAGGAATTGAATTTGTAACTGTGAAATAATATGTTGAAATCCAAAGCTTCAAGTCACTTTGATTAGCCTGTCGGACTTAGGGTTTATTATTTTCACATTATACAAATAAAAATAAAAATATATTTTTATTTTTTTATTTTTATTTGTATAAAATATTAATATTCAAAAAATTCTGTTAAAAAAAAACAAAAAAAACATGAGAGTATTAGTACTTATTAAAATCAAGGGACAGGTCTAAAAGCACGGCAATTAATTAATTAACAAAAAAATGACAAATGAAATTAGGAACAAAAGGGTAAAAGGGTTTGAAGAGTAAAAAATTACCAATTTGCAGCACGCCCTCTCTCTCTCTCTCTCTCTCTTCCATCGGCTTCTTCGATCGATTTCGTGCCCTTGGCCCCGGATTTGCATCAGCATTCGAAGTGGGGTGCTGATTGGATTCGTCGACGACTGTGCAATATACGTCGGAGAATTAGATTTTTCAGTTGATTGGGAGAGCCAAGGGGGATGGATTTGGACAAATGGATTGTTAAGGTGAAGGACGGACAGCACTTGTCCGAAGATGAGCTTCAGCTCCTCTGCGAATACGTATGCGCTGCGTTGCTCTCCTCTGCTTCTTCCTTGTTCCATCCTCCTCACCGTTTTCCTATATTCAATTCGTTCCAACTTTTTTTTGTCTTTTTCGTTTTCATTTTTCTGATTTATGTGAAGGAATTTGAAGATTGATGTTTTTGGGTGCTTAATGGATGGGATAATTGGGAGAACTCGCACATTTACATACAGGGCTGCTGGGAGTTCCCGTGGCTAGGGTTTTTCTGTGGACATTTGATTTTTTGATGTTGCTAGGGCGTTTTGGGAATTGCTGATTTTGAACCAATTATTTTTGTAAATGATTTCTATGAGATATGCATTTTTCGTTTTTCTCTGGAGGTTTTGTTTTAGTGGTTTTGTTTTAGTTAATTTGATTCCTTTGTTTAATATCTGGTAGTGAATCTAACTATGTAGCTTTGCAAGAGAGTCTTGTCAAAGAAAGTGTATCTGTTGATTAATTTGTCACCATTTGGTTTTACTTTGGAGCAGATTTATTTATAGATAAACGAATTTGATATGAGATTCCATAAATAAGGCATGTTCTTGAGCAATCAATTTAGTGCAACCCTTCAGCTTTCTAGAGTATCTCGTAGTTTTGGAGGCATGGTTGATATTAGGATTGCCGAAAAGAATTTCCATTTTGTAGCCTATGAATGCTTGTTCATTTTACATGGACTTTTGTTCATATGCAGTGCAGGTCAAAGAACATGACTTTTCTTGCATGTAATTGTTTTATTGCCTCGCATATTTGTAGTTGTTATCACATGTTGTATGTAAATGTGATGTGACTAAGGGAAATTGCTCTGGTTTGGTGCTTTTCATTTCATTCTTATTCTAAATCATCTGTTTTCTGTGTGTGGTTAATCTTAATCTACACCTTTGATACTCTACATAGGTAAAGGAGATCCTAATTGAAGAATCAAATGTCCAGCCCGTCAATAGTCCAGTCACAGTATGTGGGGATATCCATGGACAGTTCCATGATTTAATGAAACTCTTTCAGACAGGAGGTCATGTACCAGAGACGAACTACATCTTTATGGTAGACAATGAATTATTTTCTACATGTGTACCCTTGACCTAAACTAAATATAATAATACATTAAACTGTGAAACTCTGTTTTTTTTTTTTTCCTTGGCAGGGGGATTTTGTTGATCGTGGTTATAATAGTCTAGAGGTTTTTACAATTCTTTTGCTTCTCAAGGCGAGGTGTGTAAATTTTTATTTTCATTATATTTTTGTTTGGGGCAGTGTGTCCGCCATATGCATTTCTTAGTTTCTTGCAAGTCAATTAAGCTTTTGGCTCTCGAAATTTCTTGTGCAACTTTGGAAAAAAGATGTGTCAGCACCTATATGGTTCATGTTACCTAGCTCGATCTTGTTTTGTAACTGTCATTATCATGTAAGGACTTGGTGTGATATTTTCTAATGGATAGTAATTTTTCTGGACTGTTCTGCTATGACATATGTTTATCTGTACAGAATTTGATCTGTAGTTATAAATCATTCATACATTTTTAATCCCGAACAATCAGATCCAACAACTACTGCTTTTCCTACCTTGCTTCAAGCAATTATTATGATGAACTTTAGGTACCTTTGAGCAAGCATATTGTTCCTTCCCAATTTAACCTCATCTCATATATGAGTCGACTTTCTGGTAAAAATGTCTCACTTAATAGGTGGAACAAGCATAAGTTACTTGTTTGAGCTAGTTGTTTGTTGGCAGCTATTGTCAGACATCAGTAGTGTGTCACATTACTGTTTTTTTCTAGTTATTCATATTGGATCTTGTATTTCTTCCAGATACCCAGCTAATATTACTCTCCTACGTGGAAATCATGAAAGCAGGCAACTAACCCAGGTATAATATTAACCCTACTAATTGTGGTGTTATCCACAAAGTGATTTTGTTTGCTTATAACTCCTTAATTCCTAATGGATTATTCTTCACTATTTACTAAAAAGAGTTCATATCATTTTGATAATAATAAGTTTGATATTAGAGGGTCTATTCCATCTTAGTGTTCGACCGCTGGCATGGGCTACATGAGCTCCTAGTAGTTTACTGGATAAGTTGATGTCGGGCATTTTTGGCCACCAAGGTGAGAATCCAACCCCAAAAACCTGGGTGTGTGTGTTTGTGGATTTAGATTTTGAGTTTGAATTTTTGAATAGTAAATGTTTAAATTTGAATAGTTATTTGATGGTGATATAAATAAATTTGGTGTGATGTTTTGAATATAAAATCGGTTTTTAAGTAATATAAAAAATGAAAAATAGTTGTTTTATTTGATAATTTTTTTAAAGGAAAAATTAAGCGAATAGTAAAATTTTTACGAGAAATCTATAAGAAAACACAGCCTAAGGGTTTCAATTATGTGACACATTATGCACATTCATACTGCAACTCATGTTTATGAGATTAGTAAGTCTGACGGTTAAATGGTATGCGGGAAATGGATATAATGGCTTTTGTTTTTGAGGGATAAAATAGTGTGTAGTTGCAGATTCAACTAGGATGAATAATATTTGAGTTTTTTTTTTTTTTTTTAATATATATATATATTTATAATTGGTGTGCTTGGAAGTGTTCAGAATTTGAAATATTTTTGAATGAAAAAAATAGGGGTTTGTTTAGTATGTGCTTTATTTATTTTTTTTTGTGATCTTTAGGTGAAATAATTGTTTTATGTGATCCTTAGTATGGAAAATGGTTGTTGATATTTTTTTTTAGGGGAAAATGAAGAGATTGAATAGTAATTTCTTAAAGAAACACCAAGTTAATAAACCCTAAATTTTGGACGTAATGTTTTGAATAAGAATAAGTTCCGGGTATGATATTTTTTTAGCGGGAATAAAATATTTCACTATGCACGTATGCAGTACCTGGTGCTAAAATGGAAACAAAAACACACACAATAAAATTGGATCATGTGATAGGTAAGCCACAAGTTTAAGAATAGATCATCTAGAGTTTTAAGGAATAAATCATTTATTTTAACTTTTAATTGAGCCGAGACTGAATATATCTTGATTTTTTATAAAAAGAAAAATGTTTAAGAGAATTGTTTTAGGTGAAAGTTATGTTATGTTAGTGAGTTAAGTGTGTGTGGATGAATGTATTGCTTTTAATATGTACATATATACTGGAAAAGGTGGTTGGGTAAATCCTAAATGTGTATGTCGCCATATTAATGCATTACTGCATTATATACTAAAATCCACATAGCCCTGTGGGAAACATCAACAGCAAGAGCTATTTGGTGGAAAATAAATTGGAATATTGATTTGGTTGTCCAATTGGATGGTATTTGTGTTGTTTTAAAGCATAATCAATTTGGTACATAGATACTTCGTTCAAACCAAATGATGTTAAGGATTTCCTATTGGGGCTATTGAAGAAGTGTCTTGTATATAGGACTTATGAAAATGTAAAATAGGATGGAAAATCAAATTATAAGCTTACTATGAGTTTATGGTTTAAGATAGAAAATAAATTATACTAAAAAAACAAATTTCTTAATTGTTGCATATTGCTGAACAATCTATTTTAAGGATAGCATTTCAACATTCTCCCTCAAGTTGAATCTAAGTGATGCTGGAAATTATTATGCTTGTAGAGGAATTAAAATAAACTTGCTATCATGGTGCAAATAAGGTTGCTTTATGGAGAGATGTGGCACAAATGCGACAGAACAAACAGAAACCACATTATTTAGGAACAGCAGGCAGAAAACTCAATAGTAGTGCGAGAAAGAAGCCGCAAAAATGAGTTAGAAGTAGAATACAGGAGAGATGTGCATACTGCATATCAACAGTTTGAAGTTCTTGATGAGTTTGAAGTGAAGATTTGAAAATAGAGAGAAAACCATGAAATATTAATTAAATATAGAGTTAATGGCCGTGGTGGTTGCTCAAAGATCTAACCAGCACACGTTTGGAACAAAGCACAACCAAGAGAAAACGGAGAGGGGGCTGGAAACAAAATGTAGGAGCGTTACTAGAGAGAGGCATGGCAGGATGGGAGGCTGCACACTGCTAGAAAGAGGCACAACAAGTTGAAAACCCTACGAGGACTCTTATTCTTATAGCTCTGACACCATGTTAAAATTGAAGAAGTTTGGTGCTGCTCACCACCTTGTCTAAAGATATGGCTGAACCATCATGGATTTCCAATCTGATACATTTTTTTTACACTACAGTTGCATTATATTATGTAATCTAAACGAAGTCTCATGTGCCAGGTCAAATGGTTTTCTTTCTTCTCTCTATTCCACATAGCACAACACTACTGGCTAGGTTAAACATCTCCAGTTTGTGAATTTTCTTAATGAAACTAATGAAAGAATGTCCCATTTATAGGGACTTAAAACCATGATAAAAACAAAAAATGAAATCGAACTATAAATTGGAGCTAGTAAACTACAAAAGTAGTCAATTTTGGAGAAAGGTTGTTGCAGTTAAACCCCCTTGCCCTTTTCCTTGGAGGTCTTTAAATCTAGAGACTCCAAACATGGGTTTTCCATGTAGTTGAAATTAGGAGGATAGGAAAATCTTACGTGTCAGAATTCTAGGCCTTCTTCTCCCTAAAGTGAGGGCTAGAATGACGGATGTTGCCAATGGAGTGCAAGATTTATGAAACAAGCTCTTTGTGCTTCCTGTTCTTTGTTCCACAGTAAAGAAGCAGACAATATATTAAGGTGGTTGTATCTGGCCTCCCCGTGTTTGCTTTTTCTGCAACCATAATATACAAGGTAATTTAGATGACCACATATTTCCTAGTGCTGATGTTTTGTGTTTTCATTGTTCCGCCCAGGTTTACGGATTCTATGATGAATGCCAGAGGAAGTATGGAAATGCTAATGCATGGCGTTATTGCACAGATGTCTTTGATTATCTAACCTTGTCAGCAATTATTGATGGAACGGTACAGAATCTGCCCCACTTCCTCGGGATACAAATTGTTTTGTTAATTGAAAGATTTTAAGAGAATATGATCCATTAGTTATAAGTTTTACTAGAAACAGAACTTAGAACAGGTCTTGTATGCATGGATGTATTTGACTTCTTGGAACACCCAGGTACTTTGCGTGCATGGTGGCCTATCCCCAGACATTAGAACTATCGATCAGGTTAGCTCACTACATCTTTTATTCTTGGCTTTGCTTTTCTATTTTGTTTTGTTTTGGCTTTTGAAATTTTTGAGGAGAAAATGGGTGTTTTGCTGTTGTATGCGATGATTTATTGAGGGAAAATGGAAATGCACTCTAGATTGAATAGTAGTATGAAAATGAAAACAAAAATGCAAGGAATCGTTGTATATTTTATGCAACAATATTGTAATGATGTCGCCGATATGGCTATTGGCATGCTTCCGAGGTAAGAGTCTCTCAATTGGGCATGGCGTGCATCTTTTGTCAATTTTGTGTTTATTTGAATGGCCTCATTTGTCGAGTGGAATGTTCCTTGTTTTCTTTTTCATGGAGTCTTTTATATGTTTTGATTGGCTTCATTTTTATGATATGCTGTGATGTTTTCTGTCATGTATATTTGTTCCAGACACTGATAAATTGATAATAATTAAGACATGTGCCTTTTCCTTTTTATTTTGTCTGCAGATTCGACTCATTGAACGGAACTGTGAAATACCCCATGAAGGGCCCTTCTGTGACTTAATGTGGAGTGATCCTGAAGATATCGAGACGTGGGCAGTGAGTCCTCGAGGAGCAGGCTGGCTTTTTGGTTCCCGGGTTACCTCTGAGGTTAGGGAATGAGATGAGCATGAATAATACTTTATACAAAGACTTTTCTAATCAATGCCTGTACATACTCCATTGAACTTCTTCTTCGACTAAACCACCTCAAGAAACCGAAATATGCCATTGACTTCAGTATGCATTGGAAATTTCAAACACAAAACTCATAGCTAACATCCCTTTTTCTTTTTTGCAGTTCAATCACATAAACAAACTCGACCTGATTTGCCGTGCCCATCAGCTAGTCCAAGAGGGTCTAAAATACATGTTCCAAGATAAAGGACTCGTCACCGTGAGTTACTAATTCTCCATCCTCCTTGAAACTGTTATATTCTGACGCCGTAGTTTCTTACCATTATCACATTGTGATCGATGCAGGTATGGTCTGCACCAAACTATTGCTACCGCTGTGGAAATGTTGCGTCAATTTTGAGTTTCAACGAGAATATGGTACACTACTACCCCTTTTGATATACCATCAAATACAAACCATCTGAATTATCAAATTACTATTGCAATAATGTGTATGTATATTAATCCTAGCTCAGTTGCTCTAACTTTGTAAATGGACTCCTATTTTCGATTAGGAGAGGGAAGTGAAATTTTTCACAGAAACAGAGGAAAACAACCAAATGCGAGGACCCAGAACTGGAGTGCCTTATTTTCTGTGATTGGGAATCGTTAGGTTCGAAGAAACACAGGATGTAGGTACGGTACACTGCTATTGCTGCTGCTCTCAAGGAGAGTTTTCGAAAGGACAATCATCCCATCCCGGTTGGTGTTGTTCTCCCTCACTTGCTGCTTTTCTTTATTGCTTCATTATGGGTTTACTTACATGATGATGATGATATGATAGTATGTTGTTACTTGTTTTGTTTGGGTTGTTGTTGATTGTTTGGATTATTATTCATAGTTGAATTGAATTTACAATGAATGAATGAATGAATTAATGGTGTACAAGTAACTTTTAGACAATTATGCTCGCTACCCATCAGATTATCACACATGATTCTCTCTCTCTCTCTCTCTCTCTCTCTCTCTCTACTTCTTGAATTAGATTTTTTATTTTTTATTTGTTCTGAATTTTATGCATCCTTTCTATGCATCTATCTGTTAAATTTTGGGGTATTACTACTCCCACCGTCTGCTTTCAAGGGTCACACCTACTTCTACTTTTGCGTCATTGCATTTGATATTAAAAATATGTTTATAATCACACATAATTCTCTCTCTCTACTTCTTGAATTAGATTTTTTACTTTTTAATTGTTTTGAATTTTATGCATCCTTTCTTTGCATCTGTCTGTTAAATTATGGGATATTAGTACTCTCTTTGTCCGCTTTCAAATGTCTTTCAAATGTCACATTTATATTTTGCGTTATTGTACTTAACATTAAAAAATGTTCTTTTAGTATTTTTGCAATTTTTTTGTATACGTTTTGATATAGTAATTAAAATTCATAGATTAATACACAAAAAATAAATGAAAGCTTTAGAGCCGGACGGAGGTAGTAATATATATATAATGCTATAAGTGGATGAAGAGATAATTGTATTCCTAAAATTTTAGTATTATTTTATATGTAAGTTGATATTATTGTTGCAAATAATATGTATATTGTAAGAGTTTTTTTAAAGGTGTGTTTGTCTGAGGCTTTGGATTTTAGGTTGGGATTTGAATAGTAAAAATTTTAAATTTGAATAGTTGTATGATGTTATATAAATAAGAATTGATTTTTAGTATAATATAAAAAATAAAAAATAAATATTTGTGTTTTTGGAGAAAAAATTTTGTAGGAATAATAAAAATTCCACAAAAATCCTCAAACAAACACACCCTAAGTTTTGTAGAAAGTACAGTAACTACAAAATAAACAAGTAGATTGATTTCAGATTGTAAAATAGATATATATTGATTATGGACTGAAGGAGATTATAATTTTTTATAAAAATATTATTTTAATATCAAATTTAAATTAATTTTTTTTCAAATTCATAAAAAAAACTGTCAATGGTTTTGTTCTAGGGTGTGTTTGTTTGAATAATTTGGAAGGATTTACTCTATTCATACAATTTTTTCCTTCTAAAAATATTAAATTAAATATTTATTTTTTATTTTTCATATCATACTAAAAAAATTAATTTTATATTTAAAATATCATATCAATATTTATTTATATTATATTATACTATTATTCTAATTCAATTTTTTACTATTTAAATTTCAATTCAAAATTCAAACATCCGAACAAAAGTGTTTTCAATCGACACAACACTAAAAAAATATGTATACACTCACATATATATATATATATAGGAACATCTCTGTCCATTATTTTATCATTTTTATCTATCAACATAAAGTATATATTTATTTTATTTTTATTAATTTTTTCTACATTAAATATTATAAATACACTTTAAGTTTATATTTATTTATATCAATATTATAAAATAAAATTAAGACACAATGACAAAAATATCTTTATAGAAATAAAAATATTCCAACTGCCTTATCAAATATTTGCCTTGAAAATTAAAAGTGTGTTTATTGAGCTGAAAATTGGATTGAGAGTTATTTATTTAATTAATATTTGATTTGTGATGTAATATATCTTTAAGATTAAAAAAATAAAAAATGTGTCTAATTAGTTTAATAAAATATATACAAATATTATTTTTTAGAAAATAAAATTTTATATAATACAAATAAATAAAAGAATATAAATTTTTATTTATAATTAACATAAATTAATTTGCAAAAAAAAAAAAGGTTTTGAATGAATATAAATATATTTATTTATTTATTGACTAAAGAGATAAAAATACAATAAAATAAAAAATTAACTAAATTTTGAATGAGTCTCGTATAATGTAATGGTTTTTTAACAAAAGTATCAAGTATAGTATCAACTATTTTAAATTTTAATTATAAATATAATAATATTATTATAAAATACACACAATTTAACTCTACTGTCTAATCAATACAATCAGCCATCCACATTCATACTCCACCGACGCCGCAGCCGCCCTTGCATACAGGTTCTTCTCTTCCTTTGGACGCGGCAACTGCGGCTGCGCCCGCACACACAGGTTCTCCCTCTTCCTTCCTTCTTCCTCCCATTTCTTTCCTTTTTTTCTTCCAATCTCGGTCTTTCTCCTCCTTCCCTCCTTTCTTCTTCTTGTTCTTCTGCGCGCCTGCCTGCCTGCCCCTGCCATGGTGAGAGATTAAATAATAAAAATAAAAAAGGCAAACCGCCGGTTCAAACTGTAAACCGGCGGTTTTGAACCGGCGGTTTTGAACCGACGGTTTGTTCGAAACGACGGTTTCGGTTCGATTTAATAATAATACACGATTTAGGGTTTCCATAAAAATTGGGGACAGACTTTTCGTTAGGGTTTATCACTCCCGGCGGCATCCTCAACTCTTTGCTCATATTTCACCGGCGCCGCCAATTTTCGGCGGTAGAATTTGTTAAGTAGGAAGAGGAGAGGAGCATGGCGTCCCGACCTGAGCTTCTAGCGCCACCGGAGATTTTCTACAACGACGAAGAAGCTAGAAAATATACGTCATCTTCTCGTATTATAGATATTCAGGTACAAACGCTTCGACTTTACAGATAATTCAGTTCTTTTTTGTGTATCGAATTTAACTGTTTGTTTAATTGTCTGCTTTTTGTTTACCGTCGAAAAGGCGAAACTGTCGGAGAGAGCGCTGGAGCTTCTGGCTTTACCTGATGATGGGATTCCTCGGTTGCTCCTTGATATTGGTAATAAATTATTTTGTTTGGAATTCGTCTTCTCTTCTATCAGAAAGCTTATATGAAATTGTTGCCAATGGTGTCAGACAATTGGAAATTTTATGTAACAGAATTCTGTAGTTGATTATGTAACGCGGCGTCAATGGAGATTAAAGAGTCGTGCCACTTATTTGATTGCTTGAGCTATTTACTGGACCTGTTGAACCGTCACAGATCTGGAGTTTTTCTTTATTCATTATCTACTTGTCCAGATGAGGTTTTGTTTGCTGCGAATTTTCTTGATATAGTGTTAGTTTAGAACATTATTCTGCATTATTTGTGTGAATAGATGATTAAGACGAGCTTTCACAGATGAAGATGACTATCACTGCAATGCAAATAATTTATATTTTTGTGTGTGTATATATATATATATGCTTTATTTTTTTCCTCAATCATTGTTATTTAGTCAGATGGCACCTATTATCAATTATTAAAATGTTGTTTGATGGAAACATTAGAGCTGTGTGATATCATCCCAGAATCTCTATCTCTGCACCTTTTTTTTTCTCACATGGGAAAAATCCTTCTATAATTTCCATGAAAACTCATGAAATGATGATATTTACCATTTTCACCTATGTGCCCCTTAAGGCTGTAGTGTGGGATGCCTTGAGTAATTTTGTGTGCATTTTATGCTATTTTCTCCAACAAAAAGTTTATAATGTCCATTTTTCCACATGCCTTGTCCAGGTTGTGGATCTGGACTAAGTGGGGAGACATTGACGGAGAATGGGCACCAATGGATCGGTTTGGATATATCCCAATCAATGCTAAGTAAGTCTTGATTGACCCTTTATATGCTATTCAATAATACCTCCACTTGTGCTTTTGTTTCTGTATGCTTGTGAACTTATTCCAATTAATGCAGATATTGGTTTGGAACGAGAAGTTGAGGGTGATCTTTTACTTAGTGACATGGGTCAAGTAAGTCCCAGTCAATCCCAAGTGTTTAGCATATAAATCAGGAGGAATTCTGAGCATTTGTATTTGTTTTCCTTGCTAGAACCTTGTGTACAGTTCTTATACAGAATATGCAATAGCTAAAAATTATAGGCAAATAATAATGGCTTTAAATGGTTCTTAATATGAATGTCCTTTTTCAATCCTTTTTGAGAATTGCAAGTGATGCTCCTGGAAGTATCACTCAGCTCCCGTTAATCTATATTATTTCCCAGTGGCTGCTCGGCTATACAGAATGATTGAAGAAGTTCTGCTTACTAGTTAATATTTTTGAATCGCAACACTATTTATTGTAATATCAACATTTAAAAAAATAAACATAAAAAAATTATAATATCAACAATTGGACTGTTAGGCCAACTTTGGAGAACAAAGTTAGACGAGAGTTACATATCTTATTTCAGACTTGAATAAGTTTCTTGTACATTTGGTATATCTAGAAACAATAAAAAGGGTCAGCTTTCTTCTCCATCTGCATATGTGTGTGTTCAATTATGTATGTATGTGGTGGCGGTGATATCATATTTAAATTGAGTTCTACATACATCAAAGGCCACATTGAAATACATAGACGTCAAGAACTCACTCCATTTTATCCAAATCTTAAAATCTACTAATTGATTAGTTTATTGTTTTGATGGAACTCAATCAATAGTGACATTTGTATTCTGTTTGATGACTGCTGCAGGGATTAGGATTTCGCCCTGGTGTTATTGATGGTGCAATAAGTATATCAGCTGTTCAGGTTCATCTTTGACTTCTTTTCCGAGGTTTTTGTTTTTTCATGGTAGCTATTTGAACCGGACATGCGAAAATAGAAAAATGTATACGTCAAGGCAGGATGGAGGGAGTATTACTTTAGTTTTGTTCAAAAAATTGTGTCAAACTGAATTGGAACATGTAGCATGTATATCTGGAATTAATTGAGCTATTTTCTAGTGCATGCTATTGTATATATGATAGGACATTGTAATAGGTAAATATTCTCACTGTTATTTTACCACTGATTTTGTTCAACATTGGTTTTTTGTCAAACTAGTGGTTGTGTAATGCTGACAAATCTTCTCATGAGCCACGCACTAGATTGAAGTACGTAGTTCCTTACTTCGTTATCTTTCCATGTTTTGCACAATAATTGTGATGAAAATGTGCTCTCACATCTTAGTTGTATTGAATTCTGGTTTTCTTATTTATAATTTTAGAGCCTTTTTTGGATCATTATACCGAAGTTTGGCACGCGGAGCAAGGGCAGTGTGTCAAATATATCCTGAAAATTTGGCTCAACGTGAACTTATCCTGCGATTTGCAATGCAAGCTGGGTTTTCTGGAGGTATAGTGGTCGATTATCCACATAGGTACGTGAAATGTCGTCGTCAAGAAATTTCCTGTTTATTCATTGCCATACTAAACCTGCTTAGAGTAATTTCCGTTCTCTCATGAAATAGATTTAAATCTCCTCATTTGATTACACAATTTACTTTTATTCAATCGTAAAAGTAAAACCATATAGCCGCTGAAGAATATTCACAGCCTTCATTTTCATAGACATTATTCTTATCGGGTAGTTTTGCTACAGTACTAAGAGTAGGAAAGAGTACCTCGTGCTTACTTGTGGACCTCCTTCTCTAACTACTGCAACTCCACAAGGAAAAGGAGAAGATGGAGAGAGCTGTTCCGACGACAACAGCAGCGGAGATGAAGAGGATCGAACAGTGAGTAAATTTTTTCCGAAAATTAGAATAGTTCAGTGCTGTTACTTGCCTTTTTTCCCCCAATGTAACGATTTTTGGGAGAACTTATATCCAGTCTTAGTCGTGTATACTATCCTAATTCCTATCCTATCCTATTGTGTTCTCTTCAATGCAGATTTCTGTAGCTGACAGGCATAGACCTCGGAAAAAGCAGAAATTGAACAAAAAGGTCAAGGGCAAAGAATGGGTTCTCCGTAAGAAGGATCAAATGCGCAGAAAAGGCAACGCCGTCCCTCAAGATTCAAAATACACCGCACGAAAGAGAAAAACTCGGTTTTAACTTAAATGCTGCGCAAATGACGATAGCCGCAGTGTGTGCAGCATCCAAAGACACTAGTTATTGCTGCATCCAAGAAGGTACATTAGCTCAACTTATCGACCCCCCTATGGGTCGGTTTCTTTGGGTTTGGTTTAGGTTTTATATTTAGATAATGTTTGATGTGATATTTTATTTTTACGAGAGAAACAAATGTTTTTACTATTTTTTCCAAAAAATGAAAGAATTCAAATAGTAAAATTTGAAAGTTTTGAGAAATTTATTATAAATGTTTTTGTTGTCTTCGTCTTCTTGGTACTTCTTTAGTTTCACTTTCTTCTCTTTTTTGTGATTCTGATGAATTTATACCTTCATTACTTATTTTGGAGCATGTTGGAGGTATTAGTTTTAGGTAGTAACGAGAGTTAAATTTGTAAATGATTTTTTTATTTGAGTTTGAAATTTGTGTATTTTTATTTAAATAAAATAAATTATGAAGAGCATTTGGGCAATGAAGAATAATCATATCATATAATTAAGTAAATATAATTAAGTAAAGTAAATATAATACTATTATAATTTTATTCAATATGTAATAAAATAAATATAATATAATATAGTGTTTGGTTTGTGTTTTAAAAGTAAATCATCATTATTTAGTGTAGACTATTTGCAATAAAAAAAATTATATATTTGATCATTTTTAAATTAAAAGTTAAATTAAAATTTCAATTCAAATTAAAATCAAAGAAACATTTTAATTTATTAATTAGCTGAAAATTTATAACATGGATATATGAAATCAAACCAATATAATAAATATTAACACACTTATAGAAATAATTAATATAATTATACAAAAAATTTATGTTAAAATAATATTTCATTGAAAAAATAAAAAATAAATAAAATATTTGTGGTATTTTTACAAATTTAATTAATAATTAAATGGAATGAAAAAATAATATAATAACTATAGTGACAAACAATTATTCTACAATAGTTAAATGTTAATTTTTAACTTGTCAAAATTAATAATGATATTAATTTAACATACTGAAAGAACAAAAATAAAGTAAAGAGGAATAATAATTTTAATTATAGATATTTTTTCCGTTCCATCGAAAGATTACCATTTTTTATTTTTGTTCGTATTAAAACAAAATTATCATTTTAGTAAACGACCTATTTAACATAATAAATACCTTTTCAACTTATAATATATTATATAAATGTTATTACTTTTGTATCACAAAGGTATTTTTGTGTATCATTTTGATGGAGGGAGAGTATTATTTTGATGAAATATACTTTATGCTTTTGCGCTCAACTTAACATTCACAGCCGCCGCAGCACGTCGTCTCTTTCTTTCTTCTTCTTCACCGGTTCACCCTGAAGTCCTTCTGTCAGCGGCCAGCGGAACCGGAGCCGCCGGTCGAAACCGGTTGGGCAAGTCTGTTCCAAAACCTTCGTATTATCGGGTAGGATCTTCATCGGGTAGAATCAGGTTTGTAAAAATTCGGGCGGGTACTTGTCGGGTTATAGAAGAATCGGATTTGTATTCGGAAACACAATCGAACGGACGGAGAATTCTATTTGAGGTCGATTTCTTCGTCCGCAGGCCATACACCGTTTCGATCGCTGCCGCCGGTGCCGCCAGACTCTTGCTTTCTCCAGGTATCTCAATTTGACGATAACTTTGAGAATCAAAGCAAAAGTAAGGGTTTTCTGGCAATTTCCTCCCACTTGTATAATCGAATGAAATTGTTCCTGACTGACCTCAACCTATGGCTAAGTTACTTTGCGTAATCCAAGCCCATGTCTCTACTTGTTCAGTTGTTCATATTGCCTGCCTGCCGATGTTTATATAAGGAGCGAATATGAGAGAACGTGAATTTAGCGGAGCTTTTGTACCTATAATTTCTACGTACCATTGCTTGATAGGGTTTCTGATTTTAGTTAGAGACAGGTAATTGTGTTCAAATAGTTCTTGAAGAAAGATAATCTCCTTCGTTTATTAGATATCTATAATTTTTGGATATGCTTGTTCCATGGTTTGATTTTGGGTTTTGAGTTTTGAAATGCTAAACCCTAAACCCTAATTTTATTCCCCAAATCTACGTGGTTGCCTTCTTCTTCTCTATTGGTTTCTTTTTCTTGGGCTTCACTGGAGCATTGTGAATTCAATTTTCTAATCATGCATTGTTTATTGTTATTAATTTCCAGTAGTTTGTTGTTATGCTGAGGCAGTTTATATACATTTGGCGAAGTGTTTGTTGTTATCTTGGCAAGTACAGTGATTATGTCGGAATTTGATGTGTTTATTATTATTATTATTATTATTTAGATTTCAATTTCAATTTTGTTTGGGGTTTTTTCCCAAACTTCACTGTTCACTCAATTTTTTTCCCCCAAAATATTAAATTAAATACCTATTTTTATTTTTTATATTATACTAAAAATCAATTTTACATTCAGAATATGACATCAACATCTATTTATATCACATCATACAACTATTCACATTCAAAATTTTTACTATTCAAACCTCAATCCAAAATACAAACCCCCAAACAAACACACAATATTGCCTATTGCTGTTCTTATGAACTCATTGTTTTCGCTTTATGTTATTTTAATTTCAATTTGAAGATGTCTCTTATTACTTGTTGTGATCTTTGCCGGAGGACTCTGTTTTGAGAAATAGAGGTTTCAGCGAGTTTGCTGATTTGATACTGCAGTTTTATCTTGGAGACGACTGAATGATACTGCTGAACTTTTCTTATTTCAACAATATATTTTTGGGTGAAAAAAAAAACAGATAAATTTATTAACTAAGTGGCTATCTCTATACGGTTTTTATCTTCCGTAATTGTGGTCCATGTTTATTTTAATGTTAGATTGGAGGTTGTGCAGAAATGTCGTATATGAGAGGAGATTTGCTTGCCAAAACCCGGAAACTCGTTAAAGGGTTAGCCAAGGCCGAGCCTGTATGGCTCAAGGCCATGGAGAAGTGCGTTATTTCCAAATTAATTGATCGATTGTAGCTATGTAGTAAAGTTTCTGGAGAATAATTTTTGATATTCAGTTCCTCGGCAGGTCACCGCCTGCTACATTTCCTCGTGCAGAGAATAAACTTAAGCAGATAGTTCTACCTGAGGATGCTTATGTTAATAAGTTTTTCCAGAAGCATCCCGATTCAAAATATGAAGATGCTATCAAGTATGTGTCCAATCTCCTGTTTTACTTTCTTCTTGTTTACATGCTTATTCTCTCTCAAATGTTTTTAGTGTGATTATTGTGTTCTGTTATCCGACTTATGAAAAATGTTGTGAAGTTGCTTGCCAATTAGACAAGTAAAGTAGTCTACTTCTATTCCATTCGGCTCAATTGTGTTTGTCCGTAAACTAACTAAAAATCCAAATTCTGTCAACATTTCGAATAATCATATGATGTCCTATTAAGACAAGTTACACCCTTCTACTCTACAGTAAATTGGGTAATCCTTAAATGCTACAACAAGATTGCTCTAATGTCTTCTTCTAATTTTTAAAAAAATTTGTTACATTTCCATAGGATATCTAGTTTTGACCCACCAGCAGCCCGTGTATTTGCTTGGAGAGTTCTTGAATTAAAGGGCCAGGGAGTCGGCGAGGAGGAAGCTATATCTGTTGCTGATGTATGTATAACATATATATATATATTATATTATTGGAGGGCCCTGGAGTTTGATTGTTGTGACAAACTTATTATAATTCTCGAAATGTGATTTGGTTTTGTTGTAGATGGAGTATCGGGGTGAGAGAAAGGCTAAAAAGAAGGCATATGCTCGGCTGAAGCAGGTCTCCCGACTTGAAGGGAAAAAGCTGCCGACAGCGAATCCATTTCCAAGTGCGATTGAGGGAATACAAGCTGAAGAGAGGAAGCTTGTTAAGGAGCGGTTCCATAATCCGGATGCTGTTGAAATTGTGAAGAAGCTGAAACGGGAGCATGCTGAACAAATGATGGACCGGAGAGGTCGTTTGTGAAGGCCGGCAGCGCGGCTGAAACGAGGTTAGGCTATTTATTTAGTCGTAGTTGAGGTATGAGTGAATGATTTGAGTATTAAATTTCCTTTATTTTTTACTTTTATTTTTAATGACGTGAGAACCGCGCAACCGATATTCGAAAATGGTCGAAAATGGTTGTATGTGTGTTAGGTTCGAAAATTTCGATTTGAGCATTGGTTCAAAAAACTGACTTTGAGCTTTCAAATTAAGTTTGAAATAATTTTGGGTTGGGCCAATACGGTCTGACTGAGAAATCATGCTATGCCAGGCTTGGACTTTTTGGAATTGGGCCATGTTGGCCAGCCCGATTTATTTAAAAATAAAGATTTTTTTTTTTAATAAATATATTAATAATTATATTTTATAATATAAATATGACATAATAAAAATTGAATAAAATAGGGGTAGCGCAATTGGTTTAACAATTCTCATTTAGGCTCTAGTTCAAAACTAGACTGGGTCTGTCTCGCACAAAATTAAAATTTGGTTGGTTCCGATTGCTATTTCTAGTTTGGCTACGGTTCAAATTAAAGTTGATATTTTTAATTTTTTTTTTTCATTGAATTATTTTTTAGCTTAGGATTCATCTATGACATTCAAAAATTTTCATTATATATATATTTTTTCACAAAATATAATATATTATTTTAAAATTTTCAAAAGCTCTCAAAAACTCCGACGTAATCGGAGCCGGTATATGTTTCTTTTATATTAAATTTTTAGGTTGTGTTCTTTTGTGATTTTTGCAAAATATTTTTATTATTTAAATTTTTTTTTCATATTAAAATATCAAATCAATTAATATATTTTTTATATTATATTACAAATTTATTTTGCGCTTAAAATATCACCTTAACATCTTATATCACATCAAATAACTATTAAATTCAATTTTTTATTATTAAAAATCCAAATCCACACACAAACACACCCCTACTTATTTTTGAATTCTGCATTAGCCAAAAACATCAAATATTATTTTAATATCCAAATACGTGGACAGGCTAGTATAATTATTGTAATGGTAAGTATTGAATATAGGAGGACGAAATTGAAGTGGGAGGTTATTTCGGACATTAACTACAAGCGGAGAAGAGAGGAGTGTCCGTGTGTGTGTTTAGAGTTTGGACAGACACTGAAAAATGAACACCCAAAATCGGATCACCCTTGCTGTTGTTGTCTATTAGGGTTTTAGCGACTTTCAATCTTTTCTCCATTGATTCCCAGTTCAAATCCCCGATCGCCGGAAATCAAGCTCGAGATTTCCTCCGATCCGGATCGCCGATCCGATGGTGGCAGCACCCAAGATGGAGAAATCGCCGGCGGATCTGCTCGGATCGCCGGGGCTGACCTCGCTGCTCAAGTCCATTAAGCTGAAGACGAAGCAGCAGGAGCTCTTGATCCGCGTCTCCATTCTCTGTCTCGTTTACGTTCTGGCGTTTATTACTCGCCTCTTCAGCGTGCTGCGTTACGAGAGCATGATTCACGAGTTTGACCCCTACTTCAATTATCGGGTTACTCAGTTTTTGACTCAGAAGGGGTTTTACGAGTTCTGGAATTGGTTTGACTCCGAGAGTTGGTATCCGCTCGGTAGGATTATCGGCGGGACACTTTATCCTGGCCTCATGGTCACCGCTGCCCTTATTTACTGGACTCTTCGGTTCCTCAGGTTCCTTACTATTTCGATGTGAATAAGTTTAGCATCATGATGATATAATTGAAATCAAGAGGATGTTGAATTTGAATTATTACTGGTTTCTGTGTGTTCTAATTTTTAGAATGTTCTAAGTTGTATGCTGATTTGAACCTTTTTCGTGCTGTGTTCTGAATTTGTTGCTTAATAGTGGTGTTTGAGTTTATGAGTTGTGGATATTTTTGGATTTGGAGCAAAGAAAATAGTTTCATCGAATTTAGATTTAAACAGGTGGTGTGAATTTTGCTCCATTCATAGTTTTTTTTGCCAAAAAGGAAATGGACTTGAAACGAGGTTGTTTTACTGACATTCTGGAAAATCAATACTTGGATAATTATTCTACTTACTTTGAGTCCTATTAGAACATCTATGTGAAAATTAAGAATGTCTTGTACCCCATTTTATCATGGGAGTGACTAAATGATTTGGATGAAGAAATAATATAAAAAGGTTGTTCTTATATTCAATCAATTTGAAACTTTTGCCACTGAAAACTTGTAACTTTGCTAAGGGCCTTACCTCTTGTTTGGAAGCTCTACGCCCACCTCACTGTAATATTATATATTCCTGATTTGTACTACAAAATAATAAATCCAAAATTATCATTTTGTGAACACGAAGGCACTTTACTTTTAGGTCTCAAAAACATGACTAGTAGCTGAAGGGAGAAACTGAGACTTGCTAGTTTATACTTGTAAAATAGTATATATCTTGGTTATGTGGGACATGTAACAAACCTGGTGTGATTATTTCTGGCTGTTTGAAGATTTTGCAAATTGCTAAAGCCCCCCACAAGTCTATTATTTAAAGGATGCCTTAATGTGGAAAGTTTTATCAAGCTGTACTTTTATAGTGTTCACACTGATTAAATCTTGCTCAGACTTGGCTGGTACTGTCTTAACAATGATATCAAGGTGAAATGTAATCCAATCTTGGAAACTCCCTTTCTGACTTGGCTTGATTGCGTTATAAGGGCTTTGCTTGGTTTCTTTGCACCTCATGTTATGCTGGACATGATTAATCCATGTTAATAATGAGTGGTTTAAATTTAAGTTGTGTCTTGGTTAAAATCAGATGGGTTGAGTGTGTGACATTGATATGTGCTGTCATATTTCCATGTACTTGAGATCATTATGCAGCATTATTGACTTAGTATAGTCCACTGTGTATGCACATGTTTTCCTCTTTGCATGCACCCTTGTTGAAAATATGTTCTCCATGATGCCTTTTGTTCGATCAATGTTCTCGATTTTATTATTATTATTATTATAAACCCTTATTTTGAAACTTCTTTAAACATGCAATTTCGTATGGCAGTCTCAAGAAGACTCATACAGTAAACATAGTTCAATACATTCCATTTGAAATCCATTTTTTATTTACTTTTGTAATCTATTGTAGGTTTGCAGTTCATATTCGGGAAGTTTGTGTGCTCACTGCACCGTTCTTTGCCTCCAACACCACCCTTGTTGCTTACTTCTTTGGGAAAGAGTTGTGGGACTCTGGTGCTGGACTTGTAGCAGCAGCACTCATTGCCATTTGCCCTGGATATATCTCGAGGTCGGTGGCAGGATCATATGATAACGAGGGTGTTGCTATATTCGCTTTGCTACTTACATTCTATTTATTTGTCAAGGCTGTGAATACGGGGTCACTTGCTTGGGCTGTGGGTTCAGCTTTTGGATATTTTTACATGGTTTCAGCATGGGGTGGTTACGTCTTCATTATTAATCTGATCCCTCTATATGTGATGGTTCTGTTGATTACTGGAAGATACTCTATGAGGTTGTATGTAGCTTATAATTGTACATACGTGCTGGGAATGTTACTAGCCATGCAGATTCGGTTTGTGGGCTTTCAGCATGTCCAGTCTGGAGAACACATGGCTGCAATGGGTGTGTTTTTCTTGATGCAGGTATCTTTACTGGTAGCAAAGATGCCAAATTGCACTTTCTCCAATTCCTCAAAAGCTTTAAACAGTTATTTATTGGGAGCTGGGTGTTTGTGTTAATCTTTTTGCTGTACCAAATTGTTTGTGATTAATATTTTTTTCTTTTCGGTAATACTTAAGTAAATCTAATTTTCAAAGTGAAAGCAATACGAAAAGCTACTTGGTGATTGCTGATTTCAAAATAGGTTTCAAAATGTGAAAATCAGATAGAAGATCTTCTTCCATTGCTTTGGAGTGACTCTAACTGAATGACGACATGATTTGTTTGCTAGGATACAATATGTAAGGTTGGGAAGTTGAATTTTCTGGGTATTACGTGTTGGACATGAGCTTTGTATATATTTAAAAGTATGGTTTGAAACAAATGAATACAATTTAGTTCTTTTCTGGTTCTTTGATAGTCTTCCTCTTATTATCTGAAGATTTCCAAAATGTCCGAAGCTTTGGTCACCTCTTCCAGGATAGGTGTGAGTATATCTGGGACAGGGTGGATGCTTTTCACTCAAATATATTATATCTAGCTTCTCATGTTCTGGTGTTACTTCAATTTCATTTGCTGAGTAATTAATTGGGGTTTTAAGGAATTGATGTGCTAAACTTACTACGCAGGTGTTTTACTTCTTAGATTGGGTGAAATACCTTCTAAACGATCCGAAGAAATTCCATACATTCCTTAGGATCACAGTGACTAGTGCCGTAAGTTTGGGTGCAATAGCTCTTGGAGTTGGAACTGCTTCTGGATATATTTCGCCATGGACTGGTAGATTTTATTCTCTATTGGACCCAACTTATGCAAAGGACCATATACCTATAATTGCATCTGTCTCTGAGCATCAACCAACAGCCTGGTCATCGTTCATGTTTGATTTTCATATATTGCTACTGCTGTTCCCTGCTGGTCTATATTTCTGTTTCAAGCGCCTCTCTGATGCCACAATATTCATAGTCATGTATGGTCTCACCAGTATGTACTTTGCTGGAGTCATGGTGCGGTTGATACTTGTTGCTACACCTGCAGTATGCCTTATTAGTGCTATTGCAGTCTCGGCCACTATTAAGAATTTAACCCAGCTGGTGAGAGCAAAGACCAAACCTGTTACAGTAGGTTCTGGTAAAGGAGTAGCTGGCACCAAAGCTTCATCGAAGGTGGGTGCTCATTGCCTACTTTTACTGGTTTAAATTTCTATCATTCTATGCTAAATATGATTAAAGTTATGTTCTCAGATGACTTTGTGCAGTATGGATTGTGTTCTGGTTGTTTCCATTTTTCCATGGTCTAGGTTCACTTTATTTAAATTTATTTGAATCGTGTTATCTTTGACCATTTTTTGGTTTTTAACAATGGATGAAATTTACCTGTCCGAGGTTGTCAAATGTCTTATAAAATTTTCCTTTGTAGGAAAAGAACTGGACATTAAACTTCTGCCATGCTCGGTAACATTGCAGAATCCTGACATGTGGCTCTAACAGTTAATGTAACATCTATTTAGAGACATTATTATGTAAGAATATGATAAACAAGAAACTATTACCATTCTGTGTAAGGATTAACCATCTCCATTTATTTTTGAAGAAATAATCATATTAGTAACGTCGAGTAGTATTATTTTCACAATACTATCATGTTTTGTTTTGCTTCCCATAATATATATTATCATGTTGCTAGCGGGAGCTCTTCGCATCCCATGCTCCATACTTCAAATTACTTCTTGCTGCCTGGTTTATTGTCTTTGGCTCTGGGTGCCTGTTATTCTTCATCATATCAAATCTCTTGATCTTAGTTTCTTGCAACTCATTCCAACGACATTAGTTTAAACAAATTACTGTTTCACAAACAGGGTTCCATGGATCAATCTTTGCCTTTCCAAAAAAATGGTGCAGCTGTGTTGCTGTTGGGAGCATTTTATTTACTTAGCAGATATGTTATCCATTGTACTTGGGTCACCTCAGAGGCATATTCATCTCCATCAATTGTCTTAGCTGCTAGAGGTGCTAATGGGAACAGGATTATTTTTGATGACTACCGTGAAGCATATTATTGGTTGCAACAGAATACTCCTCCGGATGCCAAGGTGATGTCTTGGTGGGATTATGGTTATCAGATCACTGCCATGGGGAACAGGACAGTTATAGTTGACAATAACACTTGGAATAACACTCACATTGCAACCGTTGGGCGTGCAATGTCATCTTATGAAGATGAAGCATATGAGATTATGCAATCATTGGATGTTGATTATGTATTGGTAGTCTTTGGAGGTGTCACTGGATATTCTTCTGATGATATCAACAAGTAAGAACTTAGATGGCTAGAAGCAAATGTTCGTTTTTATCTATTTGCTATGCTGCATTGTATTCTGTTCAAGGGAAACCTAAATTTGATTTGTAGCACTAATGTGCTTAGGATAAATGCAGTTTTATTAGGAAGCCTTTGTTGTAATTTTATATTCGTAGGAGCTAAATTATATTAAGCTTTTGGTATGTGAAATAATCATGGTTTTATAAATATATATACATACAATATATGTAAGAGGTTTGATGCAAACTTTGAAGTCCAAAAAAAAAAAAGAACTTGTTCTCATTCCTTTTATGCATATTTTCACTTGACTTAGTTAGGAGCTTGAGTCTTATGGCTCTACGTTGCCTTGTAGTTTGTGTTCACTGTTCATAAACTGCTTGTTCTGATTGATGTTTTCAGTTTTCACATCAGCTAAACTTTACCTTATCATTTTTTGTTGCTCTCTCAAACTGATGTATATTATCAGATTTTTATGGATGGTGAGAATCGGAGGGGGCGTTTTTCCAGTAATTAAGGAACCCGAGTATCTTGTTAATGGGGAGTACCGGGTTGACAAAGGTGCAGCTCCAAAGATGTTGAACTGTCTAATGTAAGTTTTATTTTCTGCTATAATATTTTGACTTTTCAATGTCCTAGAATTATTGTGGAAATTATTCTTCTGATTTCCAAATAGTTTTCTCTCCTTTATGTTTTGGTGAGATCTTTTACTGTTGTTTTCTAGCTGTTATCCTAGGCTGTCACTGTAGCCACATTAGTGATTATTATTCTTAACCATAATTTTACTGGGTAACTCTTATTACTATTTTAATAGCTTCTGCTTCATTTACATTCACAATAAATATCCATCACAGCGGGGATCTAAGAAGATGGAAGGAATAATCAGATAAACTTATCCCATAGATATGAAGTGTATATATATATATATATATATATTTGTCTAATATCCTCTGTTTACATTCATTATATTTGATTCGTTATGGCATTGTGAGCTTGCATGGTAAATATGCTATTCTGGATTTCTTTTCAAGTGATCATGTTACCCAATCTTCCACATGGATTGTCATTAGGTACAAGCTATCTTATTATCGTTTTGGGGAGCTGACTACAGAATACGGACAACCACCCGGGTAAAATCCCTTACTTTATTTTACCGTTGTCCAGTCTCTTTTTTCATATTCAATATATACCTGTTTATTCCTTTGTGTGAAACCAATGTTAAAACTATATTGAAAGATCCGAAATGCCAAGAAGACACTTCCCTTATTTTCATAACTATGGTGATTAACCTGGTAACCTCCTGAAGTTGAATAATCATACATACTATAAATACAAAGCCAAAAGTCAAGGCAAAAGTTCTGCCACTTGAAATATATATACACACACATATTCATGAGATTGGTTTATGCCTCTGTAAGTGCCATTTTTTTCTTTTACCACCAGCTTCTGAGTACAACAAGTACAGAGTGCTGTGCCATTTGGAATACTTGGTGTGTTTGGTTGGAAGTTTGGATTTTGGATTTGGATTTTGAATAGTAAAAAATTTGATTTAAAGAATTGTATGATGTGATATAAATAAGTATCAATGTGATGTTTTCAATGTAAAATCGATTCTTAATAAATGAAAATTAGTTATATGATTTGAAATTTTTTGGAAAAAAAATTTAGTGAATACTAAAATCCGGAGCAAAATCCCCCAACAAAACACACCCGTAAATATGTGTTACCTTTTCGTGTAGAAGACTTTGCATAATAAGTCATTGATGCAAATCTTTAGTGTATTATTGTGTTGCCACTGCTTGAGCTGGGGGGAAAAAGGACCATTATGTTTGTGGTTTATTATATATTTATTTTGCTTGTTAAAAAATAAACTGGCTTTGCATTTTGGAATAAACTATCAATCCACAAGAGGCTGCATAGTAACCGGGCTATGGTCTATAAAGGATGCTTGAAGTAGATGGTTGATTCCAATCCCTTGTTCTTGTTTGTCGTTTGGGGTGATTTGGATGTTTTTGGAGTATTTTGTGTTCGAGTTTCTTTTATAATGAATACAAGTTTTGATTGTGATGTTTTTAATAAGAAATAGATATGGAATGCAATGTTTTCTAAAGAAATAGATTTTTGACTTAATATATTAAATGAAAATTAGTTACCTGATGCGACTTTTTATGGAGTACCAGAACTATAGTCTTAATTGGGTTGGGCCCGAGATCTAAGGAATATTGATATTATATTTGTAGTGGGTAAAAAAAAAATTTTGCCCTTAGAGAGTATTAGTGTAACAAGTGGTGGCAATTGTGTAATAAAAATAAAAAAGTATGGATAGTTTTATGGTTATATGGTTATTTATGAAAATAAGACTATTGTTTTGGGACAGACAAAAATGGTAAACAAGACTATTGTATTGGGACGGAGGGAGTATTACTGAAGAAAGAACGATACAAATATAATAAGAATATTACTGTAGACTGTATGCTATGTTATCTTTCATTTGGATGAGTATCTAGTAATTCACATAAAGTTAGTTACGAGTGTTATTCTTTTGGCTGCGGCAGGTATGACCGAGCGCGAGGTGTTGAAATCGGGAACAAAGACATAAAGTTAGAACACTTGGAAGAGGCATTCACCACATCCAACTGGATAGTTCGAATATACAAAGTTAAACCCCCAAACAACAGGTGGTGATTTAGATATCTTCTATCTCTATACTCTCCCTCCCTCGCACAGACAGACGACAGGTTTTGACTGTGATGTTGAGTTCATACTGTTGAGTAGACAGTTTTAAGGTTCCGAATTTTTCTGGATTTTTGTCGAATCTTGGAGATTTTGTAGTGAATTTGTACTTTTAAAACTATTGCTAATTTGATTTATATGCTTTATGCTTAAGATAAGTGCAAACTGCTTGTTACATAATTTGAGACCTACAGACAAACTTGCTTAAATGGTTTGAGCAGATTATGGTTTGAAATTGTCGGTTTGTAACATGCGCTTCCGCTTTGAATTTGGTTCAAAACTACTAGTCTTTTATTCGACAAAGATTTTTGGAAGATTTTGAAGTTTCGTGAGTAGTAAAAAGTTGATCATTTATATGATATTTTGTGAGAAATATATTTTTAATGACATTATAAAATTGATGTTGTGTAAACAGGGCTAGAACTGAGTTTTTGATTTAAACCATCATTTTTTTCCCCCAATATTAGTTTTCATAGATTCAGTTTAGCAACTCGTTTTGTTTTCGATTTTGATTGAAATAGTTTATTACTTTAATTTTTTTTTTCCCTATAATTTTTAGTTTTAGTTTTAATTTTAATTTGAATTCAGCAATCTACCTGCTTATTGATTAAGTTCACTCAGTCTCTTCTTCTTAGCTATAATCAACAGTCAACACGATTTTTATAGCTTTTGATAAGTAGTAACGTAAGGGTGGGTTTGTTTGGAGTATTGGATTTTAAATACGCTATTTTTTTTTTCCAAAAATATCAAATTAAACACTTAATCATATAATTATTCAAATTTAAAATTTTTACTATTCAAATCCCAATTCAAAATCCAAACTCCAAACAAACACAAAGAACTTGTCTATGTTTGGGTTTTAATTTACATTTTTTCTTTAAAAAATATTACATATCTATTTGAACTATTATATATATTTATTTATTTAAAAGTTTTACATTTTAAATATTCAGAATATAAAAAATTGCACTCAGTAATTTTGGCTCAAATATGCATACGTATGTATAAATGTGTGTTTGATTCTCTATTAATTTTAACTTGTAATTTTGCTCAGATGTATTTTGATAAACAAGCGTATTTATTTTACTGTGGTGTTTCACTTGTGATATGCACATCTTAATTGCAATAAATACATTAAAATTGTTGGACAACAATTATATATGCATAATGATAGACATGATTTCTATAGCTTTAAAAAAGTTGATTTGTACAAAGGATTCCTAAATATATACCCAAAAAATAACATTACAGACCAATCCATAAAAACACAAACCCCTGTAATACTATTTAAACTCCTCGTATAAATAATATTATTATTTATACTGAATATTAATTTTTTATAAATATATATATATAATAAAATATATACATTAAAAATCATGTCAAAAAAATAATTATAGAAATACAAACTTCACATTATTTTTTCTTATAAAATATTACAAAAATGCTAGTTAAATAAAAAATCAAACTCAAATAAAACTGTTCAAACCACTATTCAAACAAAAAAGACAAACAAATAAATAAAATAAAATAAAACAAACCATTTGACTTAAAAAATAACAAAATCGAAAAGAAAAAAACAGCCATGATGTTAAAATAAAACTTTTTTTTTTGGTCAAAGAATATACAAGCATAGATATATATTCAAAATAAAACTTATTATCAGGACAAAACAAATTAGCCATGTAAGGAATGAAAATCAAAACCCCATACCATGTTGAATAAGATGCAAGAATATTTGCATACATTTTCAATGTCAATTTTGTACTACACTACAATCAATACTAAAATGTTTTTATCTTTAGAAAATATCATCCCAATATAAAATTCAAAAAACCAGTTTTTGAAACCAAACTATTTGAAAAACTCGAAAATTACTTTCATTTTTCACTATTTAAACCTCACGATTTCATTCATGACAAATACCATTTATTTACTCTCACAAAAAATCACATTCGAACGATTATTCAAATCCAAAATAAAAAGACCAACTTCTTATTTTTAGGGAATAATAATATGCATATAATCCCAAATTCAAGTTCAAACTAATGTTATGAATATTTTCATCCTACTAAATGAAAATTTGGGGATCCATCATGTAGAACCACCATGGCAATATCTATATCTATACCTATTACAAAAACTAGGGATCACAAAACAGACACAAGTTCGAATCCAACTTATAACAACACGGTTTCAGAAGATTTCTACAATGGAGCATGCAAGCAAGGTATGGATATATACGAGAGTCATAAATCAGTTAAGCACCAGGTTTCATTTGCAACGTTTTACCATGTCTAAAAGCAAAAACAGAAATGTCTACCTGCTTTTATTCGCAAACAACCAATAACAATGCTCCATGGCCGCTCTTATGGAAGGTATATATCTGTTCAGCTTGCTACAAATTTGAATACACTACTCCACCGCAGCCCGCCCTGTAGATATGCGAACAAGGAAAGTTCAATCAGCTAAAAAAGTAGAGAGAGAAATCAAACAATGTGGGAAATAGAAAACATCGGATGTTGTACCGATTAGAAGCATGAAAAACTTTCCTCATCACACCGAAGTTAACCAACACCTGAAATGTTAATGGATGTAATAAATGAAACCGATGACAAATACAGAAACCAGAAACGAAATCACTCGGCTCAGTGCTTTATTTAATAGCCAATCAAAAAGCGCACGAATAAAACTAAAAGTATCCAAACACTACAGTCAGTCATCAATTTTGCACTGCTCTGCTGCCAGCATCACAAAAGATAAGTCCATAGATGCAATCTATAAATATAAATGATAGTTGTAGTAAATGAGAATTAGGATTCCATCGTGCAGGTAAAACAGGGTGATCAAGTAAAGGTCAAACGTTATAAGATTATCTGTTGGTTGGTGGCATGTTGCTATCTGTTAGATAATATAGATTGATCATCTGCTGCTGTTGATAGCAATAAATAGTTTTGACAGTGCATAGTGTAGTATTCAAACCTCATTTCCATGCTACCGAAAGATGTCATCCTCAATCTTGCAAAAAATATTACTAAAAGAAACATTGGAGGTTCCTATAACAGATGCTGCATTCTTTGCCAACGTAGGGTTCACGAAAAAAAAATCTGTTTCCTATTGGGTATGTGTAAGAATATAACTCCTTCGGCTATCACTGCACCGCCTCATTAGTAAATATAATAAAATATATGAACTGAAGTTTGCAATTTTACTGACATAAGGGAAATATTCTAAAGGGAAGTGATTTGTTTTCGAGATGTCAGCTGTGCAAGTGAGGCTACTCCATGATCATAATAACAGGAATATCTTCATAAGGAGGGTTCTTTAGAGGTAAATCTCGCACGATTGTACAAATATTCTGGTTTCACACTGCTTGAAGAAATAATTATACATAATTTACCAACAGCCTATCTGACATCTGATGCAATATGAGGTGCCCTGGCTTTTCTACAGTGAAGAAGATGCAAGACACAATACGATGTAGAAGCAAATGATACAGTGATAAAATAACCAATATCAAATTCCAAGGCTTATGGCTAGTTTGGGAGCTTCTTAATAGAAGAAAAGAAGGGAAATATACGAAAAGGAAAGAAAATAAAATAGATGATATCAATTTCTTGGGAAGGTGTTTGGTAAATGTTGTGTTGAGAAGAACTGAAGTTTACTTACAATGCCCCATTATAAATATTAGGTGCAAGGAAAGATAGATATGTGTCATTTTAACTTTCTTGAAAAGCCTTCTTTTCATTTTCCCTCCCTGATACATCCAAAATTACAAAAAAAAAAAAAAAAAAAAACAAGAAACAAATATATAATATAATTTCCTTTTGTTTCTTTTCCTTCCATCCAAACTATGAGTTGGAGTACCTTTAAATAAAACACTAACTACACCTAATTCGACACAGGACCAGGTGGAAAATACAAAGAGCTAAAGAAAGCTATCTATAAGGATTCACTGCTGTGCATCCAGATGTTTAGAATAATTAAATGGAAGTTAGATTGCAAAGTATCGCAATGATACAAAACGACAAACTTAATCCAAGAAAAATGAGCTGGACTCTAATGTAGTCATGCATACAACTGAGATTAGTTCACATTTATGTAGCACCCAATCATGTCACATGTTCTGTCGTATGTCTTAGCAATAAATACTCTTTGGACCTAACTGTCGGGAAGATATGCCAAACCGGATAAGACTGTTGACACTACCGGACAAAGAAACTATACATGCTGCTATTAGAAGTACATATGCAAGTTACATTTAACAAGTTACTGAATATACTGGTGCTGACGACAAATTCGACAAAATATGGAATTTCCATCCAGGTAGTTTCTAGGCATACGATATTTGGCTTAATGGTTTTGGATCAAATAGAATTCTTTTAACTTCCAGTTATACATACAATAAGCATTTTCATTGAATATCCCTATCAAAGCAAGATCAATTAGTAGCCACGTAAACACATTCTCGAACAAAAAAACAAAACTGTCCACCTAATTTACCATTGCAATCATGCATTATACTAAAAATCAAACACTTTGGCATAATAAAGCAGTTAATCTTCAACATTAAAACGATAAGTTTGTAAATGCGGCGTCAACATACTTCAGTCGAGGTCCTCCTCTCTAGCTTGTCCTCTTCCAGCTCCAGATCCTGCAGCATCGGATCCTCCAGTATTGTTACCATTGTTGTTGTTATTGGCGCTGTTATTCCCTCCATCACTACCTGTAGCTCCTCCACCAGCACTTGTCTCCGCTGGAGAACCCATCCCTCTCCACATCCATGGAAATGGAAGAGATACCCTAAACCTCCGCTCCACCATTCTCGGCGATGGTGAATTGCCATCCCTGTTCTCCTGATTGCCAACAACTGTCCCAAACCCTAAGTTTCTGCTCTCAATGCTCCTAGTGCTATTGTCATTCGACTGACCAGTCCTTTGATTTTCATAATCCTGGTCATCAGTGGGCAGTTCATATCTGCAAACAGGGCAAGAATTATGAAGTTCAAGCCAAGGCAATATACAATCCTTATGGTATATATGCTTGCAAGGCATCTGCTTCGCCTCTTCATCCAATTCGAAGCTATCTTTACACACAGCGCATTGCGAAGAATCCGAATCCAAAATCTCCTTAGTTATCTTTATATCAGGCAATCCTTCCACCGCAGACTTCGATGCCGGCGGTGTTCCATATCGATTCGGATCATTCTCCGCAAGCTGCTGAATCAATTGCTCAAATCCAGGACCGATGAAATAATCCCCTAAATTTGGAGGGAGCCTAAAATCAGCCGCACCGCCGACTAATCCCCCATCGCCGCCAGGGGACTCAAAAACAAGCTGAATATTAGCCCCCCTCGCCTGAAGACCACTGATATAGCTGTTGAGGAAGGCGAAAGGATTGAACTCATTCGGAGATCGAGAACCGAATAGCATGGAGGGATCATCAAGTCCGACAGCTTCTGCCCCAGAGGATAACGTAAAGGCGGCGCCGCCAGGCGCCCCGGAGGCAGAAGGGAAGACAATCGGCAATCCGCCAAAGGCGGCGGAGGCAGGAAAGCTGTCGGTTAAGAAGGGGTTAGGGATAGGGTTTGCGGGAGCGGCGGTTTCCGATTCCTCTAAAAATGTACCATTACAAATGGGGCAAAAGAGTTCGGCAGTCGGTGAAGAAGGAGGCGCGACGCTGACGTGCTGCTCGCATTGATAGCAGAAGTAGCGCCGCCCGTCGCCTCCTCCGCCGCCGCCAGAGAGTCCCGCCGATGACATTGCTTTGGTCTGCGGTAAAAAAAAAAAAAGCGATTGAGAGAATATTCAAAATCGGTGTAAATTTTTTTTTTTTTTTTAAGGGTAGAAAGAAAACGGAAAATGAAAAATCGTCGAGCTTTAAAAATGAACGCAAAGACGCGAAATCGTGTGGACCAGATACGAAGGGCAGACAGTTGTCACAACTCTACAGTTTCGTACAGTGACACCTGAAATCGCTACTCAAATTTTTAGATTAATTATTAAAAGCGGTGGTTAAAACATCCCCTTCCCAAATGCGACTCTTTCTCGTTCACGCTATTTCAATTAGGTTATGAATATGATACCTTCCTCTCTCCGGTTTTAGATTTTGGATAGACTTTCAATAATATTGGCTGTCTGGTGTGAGTTGGTGACATTCAAATTCAAATTGCCATTATCCTATTCAATTTAAACGATTATGAATAAAAATATATATATATATTTAATTAAAATTAAAATGACAATTTCAAATAAAAAAAGACAGTTTATTTAATTGTCATTTCAAACCTAAATCACAACTTTTCTCCAAACACATATTTCGATAAAAATAATTATTTGTTTCACAAAATATAATATTAAACTAATATTTAAACAAAAATATTAAAATTAAATATTTTATTTCAAATCAATTTCAATACAATCGGTAATAATTTGAAGAAAAATTATTAAATTGTATTATTACAAAAATAAGAGTATAAAAATATATATATTAGTGAGCTCGGGACTAAATTAAAATAATTTATACAAAATAAATATCTAAATCTAACACACCTTAAACTCAAGTAGGCGCTGAACTTAAGTTTATCCAAGAGCAATCAGAAGCGAAGGAGAAGAAGAGACTTGATAACTGCTCTCTGATTTGCGGAGGAGTTTGAAACGAGATGAGCAGCCCTACCGACGACACGTTGTCGAATGAATTGACAGTCATGCTCAATATTTTTGGTGTGTTTATATCTTCATAACACTTTGATTGTCGCAGTGAAGAGCCGTAAAAGATTATGAGGAGCACCAATATCGGTGAGTAATTGACAAACCATAAAAGTTCTAACGTAAAGTCAGCCAGAGCAATGGACTCAGCACTCAATCGAAAAACTAAAGTTTGCTTCTTGATGTGCCAATAAATGAGAGAATCACCTAGGAAAAATCAGAAATCAGTGGTCAAACGACGATTGGTAGGATTACCAGTCCAATCAATATCAGAGTAACCGCTGAGAGTCAAAGATGAGTGAGATGAAAAGTGTAAACTATGCAAGAGAGTACCTTTTACATAACAAAATAATATGTAAGACAACAAGGTGGTGAGAGGTCTTCAGAACGGCCATGAATTAACTCACAATATAAACTGCATGAGCGATATTTGTTCATCTAATAGTCAAATAGATCAAACTCCCAACAAGCTAACGATATAGGGTAAGATCATCAAAAAGAGAGCCACCGTAAGGGTTAAGTCGAATGTCGTAGGCAAAAGGTGTAGAGGCTATCTGACAGTTTGTGAGACCAACTCGAGCAATAAGATTTGAGACATACTTAGCATGAGATAGAAATAAACCATCAGGAAAATCAGAAACTTCAAGTTTTAAAAAGTAACGAAGGGGACCCAAAGCTCTTCAACTCAAACTGCTGACTAAGATATGTTATATATCAGAAATACCAGACGTATCATCCCCCATGATGATCATATCAACAACATAAAGTAAGAGTATGATTATCTCTGCGGAAGAACGACGAAGAAATAAACACGAATCGTAATTGCGTGTGGTAAAACCAAAAATTTCCAGAATGAGAGAAATCTGGAGGATGAGTCATATAAACTTCTACAGAAAGAGTGTCATGTAAGAATGCATTCTAACATTTAATTGAAGAAGGGACCATCGACGAACATCAGCAACGGCAAGAAGACAACGAACAGTAGTGAGACAAACAACAGGGGCAAAAATCTCCTCATAGTCAACTTCATATTCCTGAGAATAACCCTTAGCTACTAGACGAGCCTTGTAGCGCTTAACAGAACCATCAAAATTAGTCTTTATTTTAAAAATCCACTTGCACCTAATAGGTGTTTTGTCAGAAGGCAAATCCATTAAATCCCAAGTGTGAGTTTTTTCCGGAGCCTGTAATTCCTCAGTCACAGCTTACTGCCACAGTGGATCAACACTTGCCTCACGAAAGGACCTAGGCTCATGATGAGATAATATGGTAGAGTAACAATGATAATCACACAAATGAGCAGTTAGATGACTTACTTGATGTGATCGATAAGGTATGGCAGGTCCAGACACCGCAAACGGATCAACATCTGGAGATGACGTCGTATGTGGATTAGAGTTCTCAACTGGAACATGATTCAAATACGGAGATAAAGTCGTAGGATCAGGGTCAAGAAACAAAGGGAGGACATGACGACATGAATGAAGATGAACCAGAAATAGATTAGACATGGAATTTAGACAGTGAAAAAATTGACACTATCCCAAAAGGTAACATGACGAGATATACGCAACCATTAAAAGATCGGATCTCAAAGTCTATAATATTTATGCTCTACCCCATAACTAAGAAGACAACATAAACGCACACGAGGTTCTAATTTAAAACGTTCATGCAAGGGGATAAGGACGAAATCGACACAACCGAAGGGACGAAGGATACTATAATCAAGTGCCTGACTATATAGACGTTTAAAACGAGTACTATTATGGAGGATAAAGGATGAAATATGATTTATGGTGTAGACAGCAATAAAGGCAGCCTTCTCCCATTACCTATCAGGACAAGAGGTAGACAAAAGGGACGCACGGACAATATCTAGAATATGACGATATTTGCGCGCAGTGCGACCATTTTGTTGAGAGATGTCTAGATAGGAATACTGAATTAATGTACTTTGAGCATATAGAAAACTTAATAAAGTACAATCTCTATACTCAAGACCATTATCAGTACGGAGGGTCTGTATGGAACAAAAAAATTGAGTTTTAATCATTTGAGCAAACTGAATGTACATTTGAGGTAATTCTAAGTGGTGTTTCAAAAAATATATCCATGTAAAACAGGAGTAATCATATATGAAAATGACATAATAACGACACTCACTCATAGAAAGAACAGGGGAAGGATCCAAAATATCAGAATGAACCAAGAAAAACAATTTACTTGCGACCAACATAATTTTTGAAAAAGATAAGGCTGGTTGTTTTCCTAAATGACAATGTAACCAATCAAATGACTCACAACGAGTAGAACCCAAATAACCCTTACTAACGAGAGACTGAATTTTAGAGAAAGACGCATGACAAGACGAAAGTGCCACTAGAGATTGGGGGAATGAAGGGTAATAAGATGGGTAGGAGTAGTAGCAGCAGATACATTACGGAGAAGAATTTTCAAAGACTGTACCTCAAATAGTTAACCCACTTTTCGACATTTCCCAAGAATTTGACCCGTACGTGGATCCTGAACCTTCACACTAGAAGAAGAAAAAGTAATAATAAGTTGCTCACTGATACAAAATTTAAAGTCAATTGAGGAATGTAATAAGTGTCCGGAAGGTATATAAATCATAGAAATTCAGATCCTGAATGAGTGATATCCATGTGGCTCCCATTAGTAGTCTGTATAGGCAGTGAATAGGACACATGATGTGCATCGATCAAAACCAAGTGTCGGTATCATATGATGACAAAAACCGGAATCAAAATACCACGAATTGTCCATGACATAAGAGGAATTAGAAGCAAGAACTTGATGCGAGAGTCACGATATTCCGGACTAAGAAAGCCATGCCAGGTTGTCGGCAAGGTTTGGGTGGTCGGCTGGTGACGACGTGGCGGTGTCGACTGGAGCACGGCGGTAGCAGCAGCTAGAGTTTCCGATTTGAAAATTCGGCCTCTGATACCATGTTAAATTTTGGAAAAAAATTATGAAACTGTATTATTACGAACATAATAGTACAAAAATATATATACTAGTGTACTCGGGGGCTAAACTAAAATAAATAATACAAAATATATATCTAAATCTAATACAACCAAACAAAAACAAACCCTTTATTTCAATAAAAATATAATCATTATGTCCACTTTTCAAGTATATATTTACTTTTTATATCGGATTTAATCAATATTATATTTTAATGATAGCTAATGATAGTTTTTATATAAAAAAATAGTTTATCCATACGATGTATAAAATTATTGTAAAAGTATTAATGGAAATAAATATATATGTAAAAGTATTTATAATATACAAATATATAATGGAAGTCATCTTTACTAACAAAAAAAAAAGATTATTATACGGATTAAAATATTAAAACAAAAATTTAAAAAAAATATTTCCTCCGTCCTAGTTTTAAATATTCTTTTATTATTTTTATTTGTTTCATTTCAAAGTATTTATTTTCTATTTTAGTAAAAATAATCATACACTAATACTAAATTATTCTTAATTTTTATCTGAATTATAAACATACCATTACACATATAATTACTTTAGACATAAAATCATTGGACAAAAATGTCAAAAACCTTTTAAACATTTCTATTAACTAATAAAATATTATTATTTTTTAATCTACTACAAAATTGCAAATAACTTATTTGGAGTGAGACAAAGGGAGTAACATTTTAGCTGGGCACATACTTTTAGTTATTATATAATTAATAAGTAATTAAGAAGAGTATTAGTAAAAATAATTATAAATTAAGATTAAAATGACTAAATAGTTTAATTAAAATTAAAAAAAATTAAAAATTATGAATTTAAAAATGTGATTAAAGTGTATAATTATATTTCTTAAAAAAGAAAAGACAAATTATGTGAGACAAATCGAAATAAAAAGAATGGACAAATTAGGTGAGACGAAAAAAGTAATTGGAATTTCTTCCGTTGATGTTCAGTACGAGATTGCTAACCCAGGGCCAATGGAGGTTGTTATCCCAAGGTCTGGGGAAGCTGTTACTTTCTGTCTTGCGGAAACAATCTTCCTTTACTTTGTGGAAATACCGCGGTCCAATGGAGGCGGTAGCTTTCAGCTCTGTTGAGGCAATAATTCTT